TAGGGTGGTAGCGGATGCATAGTTCAACTGGGTGTGGTCGATTCATGACCTTTTTTTCTAGCATGCCCCACTACTGAAGCTGTAGCCATTGAATTCAACTGCCCTGCTTCCATACAGGATGAGTGTTTCACGCACGACGGCTATCATTAGCCCGTCCCGGCCTGGATTATAAATGATGTTCCACGAGGGAGAGAAGCTTTAAATGCACAAATCATTGGACCGGAATCTAAGGGAAGAGAAAGCCAGCCTGACCGGCTCCCCCTCCATACAATAACAACACACCAACAACCACCCAGTCCTCCCTCTGCTCATGCTTTATTGTGGAGAGAGAGAGAGAGAGGGTCCGTTGTTTTCCTCATTTCTTCCAAGGTCAGATAGTTGCTGGTTGTCATCGAAAAATACAGCCCTCATTTGAATATATCTCCCATTTGCCTGCCCTGTGTGCATTGACAACGTTTGCTCGTCGTAATGCTCATGTTGCTATCTATGAGTGGGCACCATGAAGGTCGAAGTTTTCTTTTTTCTCTCAGTCTATCTTCTGGCGCAATTAAAATGCGATATCTCGCTGATTACGGAAGAGAATGATGGAGGGATCGGACAGTGAGGAGTCCTAATCTATTTTCATTTATCGGGCGATCCATCATCATTAGAAGAAGGGAATATCTCTCGTAGCCATGAGATCCGCTTATATGTCCTCCTTTCCTCCCTTTCTTTCCTCACTTCTGCCTTCGGTGAAGTGGTGGTTGGATTGCATCGCATTGCATCGTCACGAGGTCTGGTACTAGGAGTGGGATCCCTGGCTCTGAAAGGAAAATGCAGGCTCATTCCCTGATGAGAATGGAACGGACGATGGAATTCACACCCAGGAGCAACCCGCAGTATGTGTGGGCCTTTCCTTTTTTCCTTTCTTTCCCCCCCCCCCCCCCCCCCCCCCCGCCCCCCCCCCCCCCTCCCCCACATTTTTCCCCCCCCCCCCCCCCCAGCTGTCCCGAGATGTAACTTATAAGACCGGGAGGGTTGTTTACGATAGAAGTGCGAAGGGGATGAGTGACGTAAGAGAAAGATGCCCGGCCGGCACGAACCCCGTCGATCGTGACTTCAGCCGGGATCGGAGTAAAACATTAGCTGATATTTCATCCACATCGTTGCTCTTTTGCAATCGTGAAGTGGAAACTAAAACAGGGAGGGAGGGAAAATGGAAATGGGAAGGAAGGCGAAGAAAGAAAGAAATAAAAGAAATAATGAAAAAAAGACCAATTATTATTGAACGACGGGAAGCGGTTGTCACGTCACGTTGCGTCATTTTACGACCCTTGTATGTTCCTAATGGTCCGGGCGTGCATTTGAGCGTTGAAATCACGCACAGACGCACACATACACGCAGACATACACGCACACATGATCCCAATGAAAGAAGAGGGGGGGTAGAAGAAAGCCTTTGGGAACAATGCAAAGGGAGAGAGGGACTCCTTCCGTTCTTTGTTTCTTCGATTTCCTTTCTTGGCGGTCCAACAGTACTGTTATATATCTCCTGCCTCTCCCTTCCCTTCCCTTTTGGACGCCCTGCCGTCAATCAAACATCGTGCCCTCCCCTTCTTGAACAACACCACGTCTGTCTATCCCGATGTTTAGATACCCTGGATATCTCTCCTGTTGGGATAACGGATCTTCCTTCTGGCATCCCCCCCCCCCCCCCCTTCTTGCTGCATGCTGATGCTTTGAATACCTATCGCCTTTCTGCATCTTAAATCCCCCCAAGCCACGCGGCGAAGTTGTGTAAATGTGTAAATCATGACGAGATACAAAGTCGTTGGAGGAAGGAGGTCGTCGGGAAAAAGTGACATGTTTTCAAAGCAAGCACTGGGAAAAGGAAAAGGGTTGACGTGAGTGGCAGGTGCTCGGGATTTGGCAGGTTCTTCCACGTCTATAAATCTTGCAAAATGAGTCGGTTGCAGGACCAGAAGAAGAGACCTGGGTCTCTGGGTGTATACTAGGTGCTCTGGAGAAAAGCTATTTCTGGAACCCTCTGCGTGCAGAAAGGGTTTTCTTTCACTCTGAAGGCCTAAGAAAGGGAAAGGGAAAGGGGAAAGACCCTGCTCGGGTGACGTATGGCCTGATGATATCCCGTGTGAACTGTATTAATGGTTCCGAGCCTTTCTGCACACTCCTGTTCATTTTTAACCCTTTTTTTCGGCGGCCCGCGTGGGCGTGCACGACAAGATGTTGGTATTCTTTTTTTTTTTCCTTTCCTCCTTCTACTTGCTCCCTTCTTGAACTGGAATCTCCCATTGGCTTCACATATCCTGACGTCATATTAACGCTATCCATAATTCAGAACGGGATTTCACAACGGGATTTCATACGCTGGGAATGTAAATCGCCGTTCCGCATAAAGGAAACTGGTGTGTGTGAGTAAGTCTTGTGGCTTGATTCCTTCCATCCCTTTGAAACCGATGATGAAGCAATCATTCATCTCGTCAGTCCGAAGGTAGATTCATCTCTCTCAGACTCACTTCAATTGAATTCAGTGACGGTGGTGTTGGGCAATCCTTTCATTTTTTTTGGAGTCCCCTGGTGATGCCGATATCAGTGAAAGAGGCGCAATTAGGGGAATGAGGCACAGCTTTCACCCGGACGTAAATTGGTGCAAGGAAGATTTACGGGCTGGATAGGGATTTAACGGGCTGCACGTTCCGCGTTTGTGGTTGCCACTCTCCTTCCGATTTACTCCCTCCTTCCATGCAACCACCGAGTTCCTTGGCCTCCCTCCAATCTCATCCCTTACGATTTATATCTTCAGGATGTGTCTCATTTTACCCTGGAGACGACAAAGAAGGCATTTCATACATTTGGAAATTTTATCCTTTTGAGATGAGTTGAAAAGTCACGGAGCCCATGAAGGTGGGAGACATATCGGGTCGTCTGGTGATGGGTTCAGGCCTGGAGAAGGAGAGGAAAGAATGCGTGGGGATGGCGGCTTTTTGTGTATGAGGCTGTTGGGTGAGAGAGTGAGTGGGGGTGGGGGAGGAGAGTCGAAACAAATTGAGGAGTCAAAGCGCCTCAGCACGGAAAACAACGGATCTCTTCCAGATAAGGCAGGATTCCATTCTTTTCTCCGTGTTATAGATAGATCACACCATCGGATGGCAGGGCACGATAACGGCAGATATCCGGAGAAGCCTCGTGCCGAGATTGAAAGGCAGAAGAGATATCATACGTCTTTGTAGCCTTAATGGGCCATCTCTTGAATCACGGTCACGTGTCCGTGCCCTGAGCATTTGCCATGCCAGTCACATCTTCCCTGTGCATGAAACTAGAACCAGATGAACGAGGACGAGAAGAACTGATTTGACTTCTTCCCTGCTCTCTATTTCTGGGTTATAGCCAGGCAGCTGCATTGCCATGTCGTTGCAAGCTGAGTGCACATGTAAGGAAGTGTCAAATGCAATTCATTCCCGCTTCATTTCCGACAAGATGGATAAGATTTTTTCTTATCCTGCACATGCTGCATGTCAATACATGAATGTACTCGTAGGGATGTAGAGTATACGTAGTGCACACTAGGGCCCACACCAGCTCTTCCCTCGAGTTCTTCCGATGCTTGTGCAAAGAGCATTTGTCATCGTCTTGGGGCTTTGACAAGCCTTGGGCCACGGCCAGGTAAATTCCACCATCTGTACGTTTCCGGGATTCCTCGGAGAGTAGGTCTAATTATTTCAGCGGGGAAGAAGGAAGTGTAATGGGACGTGGGTAGTCAGATATCTGCCATATGGAGCCAGACTGCTCATTGTCAAATAGCATGAATATGCGCGCGGGAAATGGGACATTCACAGCACGAGATCAGAGGAGGAATGGGAAGGAAATTTGTTTTTGAATGAAGAGACCTGTCATCAGGAGAGAGAAACCTTGGTATAAGCGGATTGGAATCGAGCTCTTAATTACGTTTCCTGAGAGGAAGTTCTCGGAACCTATCTCTTTCCCTGCCTAATGAGGGAAGGCCTTTGATCTCAGAGCCGTGAAATTAGGTCGCAAGTCCTCTATCTCCCTTCATCCTTATCTTGCTCCGCCTCCTTTGCACGTGAGCTATTCTCGGTTATACAACCTTGGAGGGGCCTGACAGGGACAGGGAGAGAGTAGAAAGTATTACAGGGGTATTACAGGTGAGAGATGGTAGCAAGGGAAGCTGGGACTTGTTCGTATTCATCTCCTGCGCCATATGTCTTAGTGCTATCTAAACATCCTCGGTCGCCCCAGGGGGCCATCTTTCCCTTCCCTGTCTGCCGTTCTGGCTTGGCATTCATTCTTTCTTCTCTCCTTCCTGCCTGGCATTCTTCAGATTGCCAGAAATCTCATGCTGAGAGAGAGTCTCTCGTGTTTGATCTCTTTTTCTCCCGTCTCTTGGGATAGCAGAGACACTGATTGGATGGAAGCAGACAGACGTTGCCAGTTTCTTCGGCTTATCAGGAAGGAAATGGTGATGATATTAATATCAGACTCACCTGCTTTGAAAACAGGAGGGAACGAAATTTACCTTGCTTTCTTCCGTAGAGGGAGGTGTTATTTTGGTCACGAAATCGCTTCGTGATATCGGCGCGTTTGCATGCTATTGGGAACGGTTTGGTGGCGCCTAAAGTCAGATTCCAAGGTGAAGTTTCGATTGATGACACTAGAGTCACGATCTGGAGATTGGAAAGTAATTACGGGAAATTGCAGCCACGATTTGAACCCCTCGAGAGGGAGGAAGAGAGAGATAGCAAGAGAGGGCGCTCGGCCGCCAAGAGGAAAAGAGAAGGGATGGCATAAATTAGGATTTATCAGAACAACACCTGACATCATATATCATCTCCTACAGGGCCCAGCCGCAGCAATGAATACGAATGATATGGACCGAGGGAGAAAGGTCCTTTAGCATCCATGCTTGCTTAATGAAGAGTCCAGAATGGAAGGTCAGGGACAGGGTTGTCGGATTTGTATGTAGATGTGCCTGACCTGCATGTTCGATGAGCCTGGGGGAACTTGCCCCTCTTGCCTTTGGGAGTGGCCCTCTACTATCCCTGATGGCATCTCTTCTCGTTCTCCACCGTTGCACCTTCACCCGTAATGAGCATCTCATGATGTCCCCGGATATCGCCTTGACGTGCCGGGGGATTTCCAGCGACCCTGGGAGCATAGGTGAAGAGGGGCACGGGTCAGGGAGAGAGGAAGAGAGCGAGGGGGTGGAGCTGGATTGTTATAGGCAAGGGCCCGAGATCGATACTGTATACTCTGGGACGGATACCTCTTCCCCTTCCTCTTCCAGGATATTCCAGGTGTAGGCCTAGCTCCCTGCCCTGGAACGTGGGAACACGGAAAGGTGTTCTCTCTCTCTTTTCGTGCATCTGCTGCTCCCCTCCTGTATTCCACTGCCTGACCTCTCCCCTCCCCCTTTACATCCGCCTCGTGTAATTGACATCATACCCGTTTTCCCCCTCGACTTCACACGTTTCGCGTCTTTGTTCGTTTGGCGTGTATTTGAACGATAAATACGGGTCCCCTTCGGAGAGAGAACGGAGTGAGAGATGAAGCCTCGATGGGAAGTTTGCTCAGTCACTTACCTAACAAGACGGCAGGTTGTGTATTTGAAATGCGATATAGGGCCGATTCCCCCTTTCCTTGTGCCAGAAAGGGACTACATATATGTATTGTTTGAACAAGATGGGCAAATATATGAGGGGGTGGAAGGCGGGAATAATGAAGCAGCGTGTGTGTGTGTGTTACTGGCGCAGTTGATCGGAAGCGGTGTCGCCAGGATTTACGCATGCAAGGTAATGACTATAATGCATTGTATTTGTGTTCCAGGAGGGAATGGAAAGGTAAATGTCCGTGGCAGCAGTCCGTCGATGCGTCGGACGGCGTCTTTGGAGACTGTGTACCTTCGCGGCCAGTGGCCGAGAGACGGCGCCGCCTTTCTTACCTACTGCGGTCATCCCCTCGTCCACAAGGCCACTCAGGTAGGCCTATCCTCTTTTCCGATATCATCAACATCGTTGTTATCCCTTACATTGGAGAGAGCAGCGAAATTGAGGGTTTCCATCCTAGTGTTGACGTATTTGCTTGTGGGAGGTCCGCCGATGATTATGAGCCTTGTGACATACACAGACGGCTTCGTTCTCTCTCAGGGCCCCGACTTCTTTTTTTTTTTCATTCTTTCCGCTCTTTTTGATTCCCAAGACCATTATCTGGTCGCTGAGATGCACGTAAACAGACGGTAGACCGGTCCTTTCAGAGGTCATTGTCAGGTCCGCATGGATGAGACATCCAGATGTCCCTCATGGCTATGAAGAAGACCATGTCCCGAATTGAATCGTTTTGCTTCAGCCAGCTGGTTCGTATTAAAGACAGGAAATTGTTCCCTAACTCAGTATGGCTGTGCGCGTGGGCGGATCAGGGAGAGAGAGAAAGGAAGAAGAAAAAAAAAACATCACGAAGAGGAAGAAAAGATCATGAGAGGGGAACACGCGAGATCCCTCTCCATATCTCCCTCCAAAGAATGGGTTTCAGACGTGACATGAAGGGAGGGGGGAGGGTGGAGGGGGAATGCTGGAGAGAATGCAGAAGCAAATCCTTCACAAATTGTTCCGTATACGAGGATCTGATTTTTCTCCTTTTCTTTATTGTCCCCAGATGTAAATCGTGTAGCGTCATAAATGAGGGCGAATGGAGGCAGCTGTTCTCGATGACTTCATAAGAGCACTGTATATAGGCTTGTGACTATGATGAGACATCGACAAGACACATTAGACAGCACATCGTGTGAAAAGAAAATGTCCCTGTCAACCTAATGGCAATCGATGTGTCCTGGGTTCACTGAGTCCGTTCTGGTCCCTGGGCATGCACACGTACTATATACATAGTGGTTTGTCAAGGTCGTTCACTTGAAGAAAAAAACCTGTAGACGCCAATGCACCTACTGTACTTACTCATATGTGCCCTGATAAAAGAGAGAGGAGAGAGAGAGGGAGATAGATATATACATAGAGAGAGAGAGAGATAGTGGGAAGGTGGAGTCACCTGGTTCACTTCCTGATAAAACTCGATATCGTCTCCTCTGTGACATTGAACCCGGCATTATCAGGCGAGATAATCGAGGCGGGTGAGGGGGGAAAATTGGAACATTGAAGAAGCCTGAAGTGAAAGATGGATTGGGGCGTTGGAACACGGCTCGTTAACGAAGGCGATGGTGCGTTCAGGATTCAATTCTTCTTCCCATTGATCAATCTTACCTCGCTTTTCCCCCTTTCTAAAAGGTATCCCGTGATGTATGCACTCAGGTAGAGATAGATTCACACAACCCTTCTCTCTTCCTAGTAAATTACGCCCGAACAGGGGTCATAAAAGAAGAGGGAACAGAGTTACATCCACCTATGGTAGGAGAACCGAAGGCAACGACATGGAACGAACGCTGACAAATAAGCGAGGCAAGAAAGTGAAGGCAAGGAGAGGTAGAGAAAGAAAAAAAACGTCGTGATTGACAAGCATGCCGCGAAGAGGGGAAAATTCTCGCCCGGTTCGACACGATAATCGCTCCACGAATTACATGTTGAAAAAAAAAATACGAGCTCGTTCATGAGAAGGACCCAGAAAATTCTTCCCTTTTTATGAAAGGTTTTTTCTTTTTTCCTACTTGAGGCGATTCACGACTTGGAAGGGCCGGCATTTACCTTCCTCCTCCTGGCAACTATCATTATCCTCGGCGGATCGGCTGGGATTTGGCGTATCATGGCCCAAGGTCAAAGCCTTTGGGCAGGAGTTGATGTCATCGCACTTGAGGACGAGTCACACTTGGAAATTCCACGTGTGATGGGAACCGGATGACTCAGGATCGAGGGAGGGAGGAAATTGCCTATCCTTGTCTCAGTCACACCAGAAGAGACAAGGAGAAAAAGGAAGGGGTTTTCATTTCACAGCAAGGGAAAAACAATACCCTAGAAGAAGAAAAGGAGAAAGACAGAAAAAATCTCTCTCCTCCTTTTTTCTGGGGTGGAAGTAGGATGGACAGGACAATAGGGGTGTTCCCTTGGAGCGGAAGAGTACCAAAAAAAAAATTGGCTTTTCCCCTTCCTCTCTCTCAAACCCCATAGCTAACCCTACGCGTTAATTTGCGGTCGTGCGAAACGAGAAGCCTGCGTGATGCCAAGTGGCGTGCACCGTGAAACGAAGTGCTTCAGCTGAAAAAGAAAGAAAGAGAAAAAAGTGGGAGCCATTTTACACTCTGGATTAGTTCTGTGCATGAGATGTCGACTTGGAGCGTAGGAGAGAAGAAAAAATCCAGGTTTTCTCTTCTCGCACGCATACGCACACTTGTATATGCTCTCCTTCACCCGGTGAAACAGGTTGGCTTGGAACTCGTGTTTGGGTGGAGCCTGAGAACTTGCCTTATCTCAGCGAGCAGGAAAAAAATCTTCCTTTGTCCCGTGTAGGCGAGCTCGCATGAATAAAAAATTACTATCGGTTCTATATTAAAATGAATTTAATCATCAGCGATGGAAGAAATCATTTATAACGATTTTGGAAGAAAAAGAGTTGGATTCCGTGTGTGTGTGCATCTACATCACGAATGATGCCTCCTCTCGTCTTCCCCTGCGGGCTGATCGAGATAATGGACGCAATCCATCAACGGGAACTGGCAATCCATGTGATCACGAGAAACGCATATATAGGGGTAGACTGTGGAGAAAGGGTTAATGCATGTGTGCCAGGTGAGGGAGAGCTTGTTATTATGGGCCTGCAAGTTGATGCATGGATACCAGGCACGGAATCTTCTTGGCTGTGTCGATCCTCATTATCCACAACAATCTCGTGTAGGTATGAGAGAAAGAAATGGGGATATACCCCGTAATAGGAAAGATGCTGGTTCCGGTCGATTCTTCTGGCCGTGTTGTAGACGGGACGAAGGGAATGGAAGGTTCCATTTGCGATGACCTGGGAGAGAGCTCCAAGGCGTTCCTCTTCTCTCGTGAAACCGCTGAATCACGGTGTTTGAAGGCCGCATTCATTATAGCTCTTTTCAAAGCTGGAAAAGAGTGTCTCTTGACGGACTCCTTCATGCAGCTCCCTGCAGTGTCTGTTGCCTTGCCTAGAGTCAGTCGTCATGCATATGCAGGGAGATTTCGAAATGCTTCTTTCATGCACACACGCGAACGGAGAAGAGACACCCGGAGCCTCACTCGACATTAGTAGAAGGGAGATGCGAGGACCCCTAAGGGTGATGGGGAAGGCGTAGGCTGCCTAGCTCTCAAGGACAGGTCCGAGTCCGACAGAAAGCCCCTATCTCGAGGGCATGCATGCTCGATACATTGTATCTCGCATGGCATGCTCGCCTTTTTCTGTTCCCCTGCCTCCTTCAGGCATGTAGAGTGGGAGGGGAGAAATTGAGGACACACAATCTCAGTTGCAATCCCGTCCCCTCTCCGAATTTATATCACGACCGTGACCAGAGGCGGATACAGAACATTTTCATAGGTTCCCATGTTTATTCCCCCCCCCCCCCTCTCCCCGGATCCGCCACTGGCCGTGACGCCGGATTACAACGTACCAGCACTACAGAGGTCGAAGGAGTCTTATATTTTTCATCTTTCTCGAATCCAGTTCCAGGAATGCCTCATTTATTGAGTGGTGTATTAGGGTACCGTTAGAAAACGGGAATGCATTTCAAGAACCTGAAAGGCACTAGCATTACGGTGTTTTCTTGAAGTCGACCCTGAAGAGCTGTTGTGAGTATTGGTTAGGAGGTAATGAGAGGTAAAGGTCCCTGCATGAGATACAGTTCCAACGTTGGTAAGAGGTTGAAATGTAATGAGAGGTAGGACCCTCTGCATGGTTATATGAACGATAGTAACGAGTTCATTTCCGATCAAAGGAGAACTCTTAACGAGTGAAGGGAAAGTGCTGCCCTCGACAAGAAACTGGATTTTTTTTTAGGCCTGCAACTTAAAAGTAAAGTAAAAGGGGGTAGAGAACTTGAAGAGCGTGATGGTTCATTTCTCCATTGTCTCGTTAACGAGATGTCGAAGAAAACGGGAAAATTGGTCATTCGTTTCTGATCCGTGTCATATTTCACTGTCAGATCTTGCGAACTACTAAAAGGAATTCCATGGTCACTAAAATGGGCTCCTCCCCACTGAAAAGTGTCCAAAGAGACAATCCAATGGCCCTTAGTCCTTTCTAGTTCTTTCTACTTGGCAAGCGAAAGCAAGTCATGCTTAGACATTCGCTTCGGTCTGGTTGCTTCTTTCCGGCATATTTTTGCATTCCGATCACTTCATATCCAGACAATAATGAGGCTATCAAGCTGTGCTGTTAACATGCACCTCTAGTTCTCTAAGTCTCTTCCAGGTATATATGACTGTCAGATACGAGAAAATGACGTTTTCCTTCCATTTGGCCTTAGCAAGCTCGCGCTCAGGGAAAAGAACGAACCATTATAATCAAATTTAATTTGCTCTCTTCGAGGTGAAATTTTTTTTTAAATCATGCGTGGTGCCTATCATTGTACATGGTCCTTGACTCCCCCGCACTAAAGTATACTTATTGCTTCAGCGGAGGGACGAGTGCATATACCCTATGTATGTATCCAACTCCTCTCACCACCGGCGGGAAGGAAATAAAACGGAGAGGGGGGGAGGAGGTGGAATAAGAAAAGCGGAATATAGGTAGCCTGCAATGCGGGTCCTCCCGCCGGGCCCCGGGTCCCGCCAGGTCTGCTCCTTTCCTTCCCCTCATTCTCTCCACTCCCCTTCGGTCTCGTCTCCCTATATCTATCTATACGAAGGGGCACTCGATATGTCTCTCTTTCTTTCCCCTCATCCACCCCCGGGACACACGAAGAGAGGGAATTACCCTCGTGATACAGATGACGGGGATCTCGGGACTTGACATGTTCCACTCTCCAGAAAGAGATTTTCATTGGCCACGTGCCAGGAGCGAGCTCTCCAATATGTCGAAGAGAAGGGAAGTCTTCCTTCTGACGTCAGCAGCTGGGCTCCATCGCCCCTCATAGAAGTCATGAATCGCATCTTTTTCCATCCCCCCCTTCCCTCCTATCTTTCAGCGGGAAGGAGAGAAAAAGTTTCCGGTTGGTGCCGATTGTTAGGGGAGGAAAAAGGGCGGACATAATCTAGGATCATTTCCCTTCAATCTCCTGGAACCGTGCCGGGAAATTCTGATGCGGATGGGGAGGCATGAAATGCCAGGCACGCATTGTCCATTGTCCATTCCCTAGGAAACGGAGTCTCTCCAATTCTCGTCTATCGATGGTTATTGATGCCACGCCACGCTGCGTGACTCCGCTACGCCCGACTGAGCTTGCACGCCGGGGTACTTCTCATTACCTACTCGTGAAGAACCGGTGTATTGCGGCGCCCTGGTTGTTCATCGGTGAAAGGCCGATCTTATTAATCTGCAACTCGGCCGGTGCAAGTCATTCGGAGCCCGTTTCGCAAGCTCATTGAGGGGAGGAGCGAAGAAATCTCTTGCCTATCTCTGTGAGATTCCGTGCCGTCCGCTCCAATTTCCAATTAGGTTCTGGAAAATTGTTTCCGCCTTGACCTCACATATGTCGTCTTTGGCATGATGGGGTCGTCGACCTTCCCATATGGATGGCCTTGTTCGGTCAGTCGATATATATGTGTTATGGACGAAGGAGAGCTAGCAACGTTATCGAGGTAGTTCCTAGATGCCTGGCAATGTATTTAGCATGGGTGGATGGATGGATGGGAGGTCCCTCTTTTCCTCGCAAACAAAGGCTTGGTTCTATGCTTCCCTAATCACCGAGCCAAGACCCCTTAATGATGCCTTGTACAATTAATCATGGAGTTGAATGCGGCTGATGATGGCAGAGTCGGGGAAGATCTCAGTCCTTCTACTTCTTCCTCATCGTCTTCGTCTTTCTCTTATGATGGGGCCAGAGCCATCGATCCATCACACGAGTAATCACGAGCGCTGATTGCATCATCTCCCCTCCTTCCTAATTGTGGATGTCATTGTTCGAGACGGATGGCTGCACAAGGCTCTCTGCGCCGCCCTCTATCTCCTCTCTTCTACTCTCCCTTCCATCATTCTACGAGTTACACGCACTCCTATCGGGCCGATTTACTCGAGATCCAGTCGTGAATGGAAAGCTCTGTAGGATGCTAACAAAGCCGGATGTATCCCACCTTGTGCCATCGGGGAAAATGGAAATGGGAAGGAAGGCGAAGAAAGAAAGAAATAAAAGAAATAATGAAAAAAAGACCAATTATTATTGAACGACGGGAAGCGGTTGTCACGTCACGTTGCGTCATTTTACGACCCTTGACCCCTCCCCCCCTCCTTCCCCTCCCCCCCTCCTTCCCCTCCCCCCCTCCTTCCCCTCCCCCCCTCCTTCCCCTCCCCTTCTCTCATAGCCTCTCTTCTCTGGGGGCCAGAAGCAATTTGGGCTGGATTCTGTCCTCCCGAGGCCAGATTAAGGCCTCTATTGTGTTCGTGTATATCTCTCTTTGACAAGAAAAGGGGGGGAGAAGTAATCCTCCCTCTCTCCTACGATCCTCTGACTGCCTTTCTCTCGTATAAAATAATTACCCCTGCTTGCTTATGCGAGAAGAGGGAAGGTAGGAGGCCATAATGCGCATTCCAAGGTCCCCGAAACCCCATTAATCATACGGACTGGGACCTCGCTGCGAACATTTGCAATGGGAATCGTTTCTACTTTTTTCTCCGCTCTCTCGTAACCACTTCCTCTGGAAAAAAAAAAGGGTGGCCTTTCAATAACGGCAGACATTCATTATCTCGTTGATGATGCTTGAAGGCTTTTTTCCTGACTCCCTTCTCATATGAGTTATGACTGTTGGAGTGCTGAGCTTGGGGGATTCCGGGCACTCCTTTGCATAGACGAGCCATAATTCATCCTCGTGGTGATGCATTAAGGCCTCGCTTGCATTACGAGACTCAGTATCTCTTTTACAAACCATCCTTATGCGATGAAGAACGAGTTATCTACTCTTTATTCCCTTCATTTGTTTTGTGCCCGGAAATCGGACCTGTCGCCGCGGAATTCTACGTGATTGATGATTTGGCTCCTTCTTGCTCGTGACCCTCCCCCGTGCTCGAGTTCATTTTTTATGGAAATTATTTGTATACTTTCCAGACACCTGAAGACTGGGGGACCACCGACCGGGAACGATCCGTTGGAAGCGGGAAGAGCTCGAGTTCCTCAAAACAGCTGTCATCATCAAACTCGGGTGAAGGTCTGGAGAATCTTTTCAAAAAGAAGTGAGTTCTCCTTGGTCTTAATGTCCTATTTTTCGTGTTTTTCTCCTGATGTCGTGACCGTGAAAGCAGATCTTTTTTATTACCCGTCAAACTCGTCTGAGAGTAAGGGAACGAGAGGTTTGTAGTACAAGTAGTACAAAGAGGTCCCTTGCCCTGAAACCGGTTCTTCCTGGCTCCAAGCTGGCGAACACGTCCAACTTCTCCCTCGAACTTTTTTTTTCCTTTCTGCTAAGATACACACGCACACGCACGGGATACATTTTCCGCCATTCTGTCGTTCGGCTCAGCTTGCGTCTCTAATTGTTCCGATTCGCACAGTCGCCTTCAATTATCAGGGAGGAACCGAAAATAAAACCCAGTCTCTCTCTCTCTCGCTCATCGCTCATCAGAGTCCCCTCATTATTTGAAGGGAGCAGCCGAAGGCGAGAGAGAGGGAGAGATGAATGTCAACTTCCGTGTTGGTGAAACCCGCCTGGGGTGATGATGAAACACGTATCAAATGCGAATAGGAATGGGAATGGGACAGAACGAGGGCATGGCCGAGACCCCCTGGTGAGGTAATGAAACATAATGCATGGAATGGGACCCTGCTTCATTTCCCACGATCGTAATCATTTTAATGAACTCGGAGCTCTCGATGACAAGCACTGTCTGGTCTGGCATGCATGCATGCAATCATATCGCTCCCCCATTGTCCCCCCTTTGACGATGTTGTTTTATCGGCCAGCCTAATTGCACTTCGGTATCCATCCGGGAAGCAGGCACAAGAGACGTTCATCATGGCCTCGGTAGGAGGTAGTGGAAGAAAAAGAAAAAGAAAAAGAAAAAGAAAGAGGGGCCTACGCTGGACACGCCGTAATCAACGCCGTGAAATACAGCTCCACATCATTATCCGTGATTATAGACGAAAGGGGGGCCTCGGACGTATAATGATTGTGGATCGTGTCCCGCGTGGTATGGTGGTCGTCGTGGTGGTGGCGGTATAGAAAGGAGATGGAAGAAAGAAGAAGAAACGGAAACACGGCCTATCATCAGGAGCCGGTCCCTAGTCATAAATCAACGTTATCGGAGCTCCTCATCTGTCTGTGAACGGGTTGCGTGCATTCCCTCTTCAATCGTTCCTCCCTCTTCTCATCCACTCCATTCCATTCGATTCCATTTGATTCGAGTCCCACTCTACCACTCACTCACTACACACGTAATTCGTTTGTACGTTTCTCCTTCCTCCCCCTCCTTGTTTGCACGGCAAAGGGCCAGTTTGATGCGAGTGATTTACAGCGTCTGAAGGTAGTTGAAAAACGGTCGTCCTCGATGTCCAGATTAGATAAAGAGGTTTTTCACCTCCTCCTTTTATGAGATAACACAGAGGACGCGGGGGAGTTGTATAATGGTATAGTAGGCCTAGTGGTAGGAGTTGGGAGATGTGATTACACCTCGTAAATGTAAATCTCTCTCTTCACCCAGGTTGCAGCGTAATAGCAAGGAGAGCAGCCTGAGGGGGAGTGGAGTGGGATGCCCAAGCCCGGTCCCCTTACCGGGGGATCATAGTCTAGGGAGGGGAACTCCCATTGCCATCCCCTCTGCCCCCCAGTCCGCCCCTAGGAATATCATCCCGCGCATGCGCAATAGCGTCGAGGGCCTCAACCAGGAGATCGAACGCCTCGTACTCAAGGGCATGAACTCCCACCACGATCACCTGGTGAGAAGCGAGTGCTTTCTGTCTTCTATTTCTGTTTTTCCCTTTCCATATTCACTCATGATCTTGAGAATTGAATTCATTCTTGGATGAAATATAATTTTGAAGAAGGCGGAGACTGCCAGGTCAGAGAGTGGTAGAGAAAGATGGAGGGGGGTCTGTTCCCAAACTGTCATAACATTTGTCTTCGTGACCCCATGGAGATAACAAAGGCAGAGGGAGATGAAATTTGCTCGTTATAACAAGCTGAGAGAGGCAGTGAGGCTGCAATTTGGCCGCCAGCCTCCCTTGGATAAATAATGAATGGACCAGGAGATGAGTAATGGGACCGGGGTGAGAAGAATCCTAACAAACAATGGATGGCAACCCTCTTGCCAAGCCAACTTCTTCTTCGTCTTCGCCTCTTCCCTTTCTATTATCCTCTCCTCATATTCATGCATATGTATCCTCGACCTGCCTCGTCATGCATGGGGTGCAGGCGAAGGTATGAATAAATCTATCTAATGATAGGGTTTCAATTCTGCCAATACTCCAGGAATGCAAATGTGAATGGGTTTCCTAATGACTACCTGATTGTACAGCGTTAGTGAAGTACAGAGTTCTGGCAGCAAATGCTGTGAATCCATATCGAATGGATGTGATTCTTCGTGTAGCAGCTTTTCATGAGGAGCCCACCAGAAAAAAGCTACTGATTTGCTTGCGGAGAGAAAGATGCTTGATGAATAAATAGAATAGGAAGTGACGGGCGGTTGTTTGTGCAGGTTCGAGAGCCCTCAGACGGACGATGTGCCCCGGTGAAAGAACTCCTGCGGATAGGAACTCGGTCGGTGGACACTCAGACCCCATCGGATGGGAACGGGATGAGCCCCTTGATCCCTTTGTGGCCATCTTCCGGAGACACCCCAAAGGAGGAGGAGGAGGAGGAGAGGAACCGGATCCGGATGGGGAACCTGGTTGGGGAGGAGGAAGAAGAACAGGAGGAAGATCCCAGGGTTTTAGAGGAGGGGGAAGACGATGAGGATGAGGACGATCACGATCACGATCACGATCACGATCGCGAGCACGATCAGAATCGGGAAGAAAGTCCAGAGTCACTTCCACCTCTTTCTCCGTCCCCCTCGCCTCTTGTACCCGGTCCCTTGGACCTCTCCTCCCCAACCTTGGACTTGGAGAAAGGTAACAGCAGGGCATTTTTTCATTTAGGCCTACTGAGCTTGAGCTGAAAACCGCTTAAAACCCCTAGACAACAAGTGAAGGGAATCCCCGCGCTAATTTCGCTGTTGGAGTTCTTGAAACTCAACCATCACCTGCTGGAAAGTTTCTGAGCTACCCACGGTCGAGTCTTGGAACCTTTCATCAATCAACTATTAATGACCTGCAACTGCTGCGTCATTTTGTTTTCCTAAAATATGTGGCCCAACATAAGAGCTCTTTCTTCCCTGGAAACTTCCACCCATTCCCAACACTGTACATTTGCATAATTTTCCCACAACCTGCGGAAAGCAATGGTAAATTTGTCGGTACTTGTCTGGCTAATGTGTCATGGTTGAGAGCCATCTGTTTCAGAAACCATCTGAATCTCTTAGTCAGAGGGAAGGACTTAATTACTGTTAGCTTAATGTGTTTGAAAGAGACAGGGAATGAGCGAGCAAGAACGGAAATGCTGTGGGCAGCAAAGAGTTGAATAGAAACTGGAGATGTCATTCATCATGCAATTGTACTCACTCACTCTTGGGTTACAGGCATGACCAGAACGGTTTTTGCAGGACTTCTCTTCCATCCCAATTAAAAAAGGATTAGGGGAGACCCTTCATCCCACTGGTTTTGAATAATGATGTGTCCCCCCCCTCATTTTCTATGCAACACCCTAGGCTTTTTTTTTTTCTCTCTCTCTCTCTCTCTCTCTCTCTCTCTCTCTTTCTCTTCCCCTCTGTTTCTGAATGCATCCAGAAGACAGAGAGGGAGGGAGATGAAAATAAAAAGATGTGCAGCAGCATCTTTCTTATTCCTTCATCATTTAAAGAGAAGGCACAGCAGGAGGGGAGAAAGAAAGACTCGTCTAAGGGATGCATGTGTCCATCTCTCTCAAAAGGGTTCCCTACATTAGCAGTTTCTTTTCTTCTACTCCCAAATGAAATATGGTGTCCCTTTCGGTCCTAATCCTGCCCTTGCGTGAAATATTATGCTCAACCGTTCCTCGTGTGTATATTTTGCAGATGTTGAGCAGAAGAGCTGGACCCCGGAGGTGGAGTTGTATTTGGGGACGTCACCTTCCATCAAGGGATTCTCTGCGCGGGAACCCCCTGATGGATGCGAGAAACCCAAGGTTCCTCTCAAGATCGAAGATGCCAGGTCAGTCTTTGGATCATCAAAATTCATTGTATTGTTGTAGTATCTTCAGAGCCATATACAAGCATGAGGCGAATCGCACGTGTTAACTAAAAACTCTCTCGAGAACGTTTAACGTTAAGTATCATGCGCTGTCGAATATTCTTGTACAGACGTGTATAGATAAAAAAATGTTTACGTTTCTCTAGGTATGTACTGTGACTAAAGTATATGTATAATGGGATGGTTATTGTGCACTAGTGGGGAATCTTGCTAACAGACTCTTCTCTACTAGGCCTTACAGTATCAAAACTGAGGTTGAACATCAGTATCCCTGATTTTGCTCCCTTTTGCCAAATATCGTCTGACCATGACAACTAACGTGTTTCGCCAAATCACGTACCCTCTAAATCAAGCACCAATCATTTATCGCATTTATTGTGAATATAGACATTGGTGTGCCCATCTGACTATTCCTTGGCTTCTTTTTTCTCTATTCTTTTCAATATGCTGATGTATAAGCAGGTTCCCTTTCTTTTGCGTTGGGCACTCTGCATGGTTGTCGCATGGCTGCTTCCTGCGTTGAAAGGGTTTGGACTTGAACCATCAGAGCATGTCATTGCGTGTGGAAACAGTTCCATTAGACAATGACAGGTTGATGAAAAAGGGAATTCAATTCACCTCCAGGGTCCTTTCATTCGTCTACTGCTGAAGAGACCACTGTCTTTCTATCCTTCATTCCTGTTCCCTCATACTCATCGTCTAGTAATTCTATCAAAGTGGAATTTTGTTCATTTTGTTGAAAGTCAAGTTTCATTTAAGAAAAGGTGTCACAAACTACTTACCTAACTGTAGCACCCAAATACAGGATCCTCGTTGATGATACTGTAAGAGAGAAACAGAGTAAGGCAAGGTGACAAAGAACCAACTCTCAATCTTGAAAAGTTTTTGGAGGACTTCTTTTTTCAAAGTAAAAACCCACATTTACAATATGTTGAACATTCTTGCTTGGTATTCCAGGTTGAAATTTGAAGAGGACACAATGGACTTCTTCCCCAAGCACCCCCTGGTCACTTTTGAGCTCAAGCCCAGCTCTGGCTCTGCATTCTATCCACTTTGCAAGTCCTACCTAGGCAGAGCCAATGAGGCCAATCTCAACAATACGGGTTAAGACGAACAGATTATCCTCCTCCTCCTCCAACTCTTCACATGCATTCAGCCATCTTCCCTCCCTCTTCTCTCTTGTCTTCTGCATTTCTACTTTCCTTGTGTAATGGAGACTGAGAGAAGAGAAGAGAGGTGCTTCCATTCTGTGTGGCCTGTTTGTTGTGTTGTGCGGAGGGCCAAAACTCAAATTTTTTTGTTGATTTGGTGCTGCTGCAAAGGTGTCATTTGCTGCCACACGTGATCCCCAAGGGAGAAAAGACTAGCATCTCTCTCCCTTCTACCCCCCCCCCCACCTCATCCTCCTTCAATTCAATTCAGCAAATCATGAGAGACATATATTATCAATTCTCAAAACTATTGGTGCTAGACTGGACGGGAGAACATTGGAAACAGCAAGAGAACCCTGGAAGCGTAAGGGAAGAGTGACAGTGACTCTCAAGACTTCTCTTGAGAGACTTCCATCCTGAATCCCTTGCTTTGCTTCCAGGTGACGAGAGAGAAATCAAGACTTTTCCTTTTCCTCTCTTGTAAGTATAGAGTTATTAGTTCAATTTTTGAAGCATGTCTTGTATATGTGGTACAAAGAGACAAAAACAACAGAAGGAAAAAAGGAGCACCTCTGTCTTACAAAAAAGTTTATTGGGTGTGTTATCGAAGATGTGATTTTTTTTGCTGCTTCTTTTTCTCCACTTTCTTCTCACTTGTGTGTTGCTGTTTGATCGCTGTTTGTCTCTTTCTCCTCAACAGATTTGCCCTGAAGTCCAGTGTTTTCTGCTTCCCTTTTTTGGCTGTCTGTCTGTCATCATCTGTATAGCCCAGTGTGTTCCCAGCACGCAATTGATCTCAGTTTTGTGCCCTAGAGGCTGCTGTCATTGCTCTTTCCCCTCCCCCCCTCTCCCACCCATGTTTCTGTGACAAATCTGCCACCAAGTCTTGGGCATTAATGCCAAATTCAGACTCGGTCAATCCCATTCCTTCCACAGCTGTGTAGATACACAAACCCAAAAGGTTTTCTCCCTCCTCTCCTGTACTTGATATCTATGTTGTACAGTTGCCACAGTCCTTGTACTGGAGCCAGTCTTGTCAGGTGATGGCAATCCCTCAAGTTTTCTCTCTAGTTTCCTCCTTATTGTTTCACTCTACCCAGGTAGTAAAGCGATTGGGTGGCTTTCCCTCGCATGTGCAGCAGATTGCAGCATGAGTGAATGTGCTTCTACTTTCTGTGGTTTCCTGCCAGTCCAGTTAAATCACTGGTTCTACACACCCAGTATTTTACTTTAGCTGTCAAATCATAAATATAATCCAGAATTGAAAAATTATCTCTCACTCCAAATTATCTCATTTGTCCTTATGAAAGAGCAGTTGCAGAACAGCTTTACCAGGGCAAATTGTGAGACAGATAATAGACTTCTATTTTGGTAACATTCCAGAGCATGGTCTAGGACAGGAGAGAAATCAGGCTGAGAATTATCATTCTTCTTTACTCAGATGATTGGAGGAGAGAAAGAAACCATAGTTTGTATTTCCTTAGGAAATCTCAGGGTTATCAGTCAGTGGATTTTGAGAGTTAATGGAGGGTTTTTTTTTCCTTTCCCCCCACAAATTTGAGATCTTTTATCTCTTTCAACCTTCATTGTCCCCTGTTTTTGGAAGAGAGAAACTGTGTGTTTCTGTTTTGCATACCAAAGTTTTGTTTTGCTTATCAGAGTATTATGCAACCCGGGGCTGAGTGTTTATCTTTTTTTTTTTTCACTTGGACTCTGGGATGTGGGATAAAACACAAAAAAGCCTGCTAACCAGTACCTGCAGAAAGGAGGAGGTATTTAGTGACTGAGTTATGGAATAGAGGATGAAATGAAAGAGGGAAAATCCTCTCATTGCTTGTCCTCTCTTTCCATCCCCCAAGTTTCCCCTTCTTTCTTTTCTGCTGCTCCATCTTGATTTCGCCTTCCTTTTCCCCAATATGGATTGCTAGTCAAAGTTATCTCTTTCTCATCAGAGAACCCTCCAGGCATTCCTCTCATGTATTAACTTTATTTTTCACGTTGATGATAGATTGTAAATAAAAGATACGTTTCATAAATGGAATTCTGTATTCCTTCAAGGGTGGAATCAAGGCCAGTCAACAAAGTCTGAGGACAAGGACCATATATAATTTTATATCAATAACTCTGATTGCACAAATGAGAATGAATTGAACCATGAGGAAAACATGGTGGTAGGAATGGGAACTGCTATGACATGTCTTTGTTATCCTCCTTCAGGACTTCCTAGATAGAAAAAGAATGATTGAGATGGAAATGTTTGCAAAGAATACTGAAAAATAAAGGTACCTGAGAATTAACTCACTGGAGACTAGTACTTGCGTGGACCTCCACAGCTTGGGCACGCTCTTGTGCCAATCTGAAATGAAACATAGACAATGGATCACACTCATAACTTTAAAAGAAAGCAATTCTATTGGGCTTCCATTTTAAAGACTACTTTAAAACAACTGAAGTTGACATAAGAACACAGCCATATGGACCAAATTGGCAGAAAACATGCAAGGTACAGAAGGCCCTCAGGCAGATTGAGAAATTACCTGTAGAAGGGCGTCCCATACACTTGGCAAGAGGAAAGAGACAAATGACAATGGGAAGAACAGTTAGTTCAAGGGAAGGAATCACAGGATAAGCATGATCCTCTAAGAACATACTTGCACAATCACTTCAAAAACAGAAGCATTAGTTTATTCAGATGCTGGAGAGTGGAAAAAATATCTGTGGAGATTGATTGCTATTATTCCCTATCTACTTAAGACTGAATAGAATACCTTAGAGTTGAAAACAACCAATTACAAGGCCTTGAAATTCATTTTCACACTTTAATAGATAGTAGAAAAACTTTCCAGCTGCTTTTGAGATTCTACCTCATTGCTTCTGAGTATGTTTGGTAGGTCTGCTATATCAACCTTTTTAATGATGGATCTTCCCACACTACAGTGATTTGGGATTTTCTGAGGTTTGGTTTTTGAAATCTAAAGCATCCAATCTTCAAAATATACACTTAAGAAAATATTAGAATAATAAGCTCATACTCGTACAGAAGCTAATACAGATTTACCATAGAAGAAAAAGGAGAGAATGGGATTCTGCCATTGAAGATAAACCTATTATTTCTTAATTGGGCAGTTCTACTTATTTATTGTAGTTACATACTGCAAAGCACATTGTAGATTAATTCTGCAGCATAAAAACATAATTTTCTAGCCAATTGAAAGGTCACAAGTTACAGCATGACATCCAATTTCAAACCAAATAGCTATACCTTGGAGAAGGTCCAGTCAGGCTGAACCTCTAAAATGCCTAGTCTATTCCACCCCAATCCCATTCCCCAAAAGAGAATTCAGACATTTTAGGACTAGAATAATGTCAAAGTGGTTTTTCCCTTAGTTGTAATTGTAGCTGAAACTAGGCAAAGGCAAAAAAACTCAGCTGATATTACAAAACTCTTGATATACAGTGAAAAATGGCAAGACTGAAGTTCTATATTAACCTTTTCACCATCCAAGGTGAGAGTACTCATACAAACATGATTCAACATTCCTTTTTTCCCCTTTTTTTCTTTTTTTTTTCCCGGGGAAAAGATTAAAAGGAATGGAGAATACAGGAGAAGACTATTTGACATATAAGATTTTATTTTTTCAAACAGGCTATGTAATTCATTACAATCTGATGGAACAACCTATTGATTATTACATGAAATTATAGGGTGCTGGTTCATCCATTTTTCAGCATGACAATAAGGAACTAGATTTTGTACCATCTCTGAATATTGTGTTTTTAATATCATGTTCTTTGATACATATGCTGACAGTTGCTTATTTGCTTGCTTTGGATTATGACAGAACAGGAAAGCAGACATGGAGAATAAAAATATAAAAAAAACTGACTGTTGACAATGAATGGTATGCAGTCTTCATTGAACACTCCCTAAATCCAGAATCTACAGGCTATTCATCACAAGGCATAAGATACTCTAAGTGGGTAGTGATACTCACTTAGAGGTAGACTGACGCATAAATTGCTGGATCTTTCGTGCAGCCTGATGTTCTCTCCTTCGCTGAGAGAAGGTGCGCTTGAGATGTGAGGAACTTGGTGTGCCCTCTCGACTCCCTGACTGCTTGCCATCTGTCGGGTATGGGCAGTATGATGTCTGGATCAGGGATGCAGCCCATCCCATCTCTTTCATGTATGCATACTGTGTGAGTAATATGAAAGATCCACACATTCATCCAAATTTACTCAAGAACTACAGAACAATACATCTGCCAGACCAGGTTTTACCTGTTTGTATCTCCTGTAGTAGTTCTGGATGACAAGGGCAGCTTCCTGCTCCTCCTGCTGCTGTTTGCGTCTTCCCTTGTATGACCGGTATGCTTTCTGAATGCGCACTGCTGCCTCATATAGCTCCCTCTGTTCTTCATCTGAATTTCATCCAAAGGAGTTACAGCAGGCCTTGTTTAGCAATCTGATCAGCTTGAGAAACAGAAGCAGCCAGAAGTCTTACCTGAAAGGGTAAGTTTAGCAAGATCTTGTTCAGAGGCAGCAAAAAATTCAGTGAAGTCAGCTGTGGTAGGAGCAGATGCTTGAGTAGGGTTGGGGGTACATGAGGAAGAGGGACTGGGGATGCAAAGTGAAGATGAAGCTGGGCTCAAACTGCTGCATGGTGTCCCTCCTGTTTCAACTCCTTCTCCAGTGTGATGCCTGCCAACATTCAATAATAGTTTACATAAATTTAACCATCAGTGTGACTCAAAAACAGGGCCAACAGTTTCCAGGTCTCACCTGTAGCAAGTATCACATGAGACATCCAAATGCAATGGGCTTGCAGAATGGTCTTCCTCCATGCTGTTTTCATCATTCTGCTGTGAAGGGTGGAAAAAAAAAGGCCCAGTACAATACCTAGTACTGTGGTTAACAACTCTAAGGTATTCTTGCATACCTTGATTCTGGCAGGAAGAGCAGCAATGATCTGCTCAGCCAGGGTGAGGAATTGAACTTCTCGGCATGTACCATGGTTCTCTTGGATGCCCTCTGCAACAAAGGACAAAAGACCCTCCTTGTCAGTCTAAAAATTGAAGAATGATGAGAAAAGTATATATAATCTAAACTTACCCAGAGCACAGAACTTGGCTTCAGGTTCTTCATCACTGATGACATCTGAAAATATTACATTACATAGGCTACAGTGTTTATCAGAAAGCATTAGTAGTGAGCACCTTTGCTTATTGGTGTTTGCTTACAGGCAAAATCTAGTTTAGCCACCCATTTTGGAATTGCTCATACATGTTGCATAACATTTGGCATCCTCTCTGCTTGCACCACCAACCAGGACTACTTTCCAGGAGTATTTTATGAAAGACATGAGTTCTCTAAATTGTTTTGGCCAGTGTCATTGATGACGGTTGGAATGAATGATGTCTGAGAAATACTATAATTCCAGGATTTGACATGAAGTTCTTGGAATACAGATGCTTGGAGAATTCCAAAATCAATACTCTAATTGGACGACTGAGCCATGGACTAAACACATATATTACATAGCAAAAAGAACTTCAAAGCAGCAAAGGAACCACTGAAGGCATGGGTAGAGCCATATGCGACCAGCAACCACAATCAACATATCAATATTTCTTAGATCTTACTCATCTTTCACTTCACTGTAGTGTGACCTTTACTGATGAATGCAAGTGGTCATGACTGCTAATGAAATATTATTATTGAAAATATACATTTCTTAAGTTAAATATAGAAATAAGAAAGTCAAATGTGACAGTTGAATTTCTTGCCTGTGCCAGGAGACATTTGGCCTCTTGTTACATTTCCATAATGCAAGGTTTCATATGCAAATTAGTAAATGCATTAGCATGTAATCTCACTTTGGCAGTTATCATACTGGCAATGTTTAGTTTTATATAATAAAGAATGAAAACTCTCTTTCACAAGTAAAAGTATTCAGATCCAAGGTGCATGCACAAGTCAAATACGACAAGGAATTCAAATGTGAGGCTGTCACAGATGGGAGTCAAAGGACTCATCATCATATCAGGACATCAAAAAAATCAAATGCTTTGATATCAGACACACTCTTTCTTGTCACCATTAAAACAGTTCAATGTCCATATTTGAATCAGGAATTCTATTATTTGCATTTTTTTGGGTGCCCAAAAATGCTCCTTCCACAATTTCCTCTTGGGAACTTGAGTTCCCTCCCAAATTTTAATGGTAACACAGTCCGGGGATAAACCCTGATTATGGCAGCATACATTATTGGCATTCATTCTTCATGATCTGAAAAAATGTAGGCAGTATAAGTGCTTATATGAGGGTCACTCAGAAAGTTTCAGTGCAAAATGGGATGGTGTAGATTAGTGATTTAAACAGGTTGAAAAATGTTATTTTCTAACCTTGAGGACAAGTTTCAACATGTAGAAACTGTATTTTCTACTGTGTCCAGTAGAACTGTATTTTCTGGAATTTTTTAAAGTTTGGAATGTAGGTGTTCTCTTAGCACCATGGAGCTGACCAGGAAGCATTTCCATGCTATGACCAGATAAGTGCTTTAAATTAAGCACAGCATCTTACCCTTTTGCATATTACATTTTGGGATAGATCATCTTCCATAGCCAAAGTTTTGCCTTGCTTTCCTGAGTTTAAGAGGGGAAGAACCAGCATTGAAGATGACCCCCTTGGTGGAAGACTTGCAACTGCTTTCACTTAAGAAAATATCCAGAAAGTGGAGGCTATAATTCAAGGAGATCGAATATGCATACACCATGATATTGAGGAGTACCTAAACATTGGATCGGGGAATGTTGCAAAAATCATGCATAGACTTTTTTGCATCAGGAAGATCTTTAGCTGTTGGGGCCCCACAACTTGCCAGATGGGGTCCAAAAGGAATGTTGCAAGTACATGCTCTAAACATTTCAAGAAGAATGCTCAAAAAATTAATCAACATTGGTGAGATGTCATGGATTTACAAGTAAGACCTGGAAACAAAGGGGCAATATGCAGTTTGGGTAATTCCATTAGGACAACATCCCTGCCACAGTGAAGAGGGGAAAAAGATGGTTGCCACTTTCTCAATTGTTAATGGTCACGTGGGAACAGTTTTATTGGAGGACTGAATAATAGTGAATGCTGAGTGGTACATCACTCTGTGCCTGTTCAAAGTTTCCAAAAAAGTGAGAGAAAAAAGTAGAGATGCAACGATATTGAATTTTGGCCGATATCCGATATACCGATAATTCCGATATTGGAAAAGAACCGATCCCGATACCGATAACCGATACCGATATCTTTATATACATTTATATTTGCACATTCAGAGTAGATTTTGAACAGTGAACTATCTGATTACACTGCTTTATTTCCAGGAAATGTGTGTTTACCCCAGAATAAAGCTGCATTATCAGATTGTTCTCTGTTCAAAAATCCACCCTCAGGCATTAACCCCTCCACTTTTAAGTTTTATTTTGGGCCAGGTCTGATGGGGAAAGCTTGAGGTGCACCAGTGGTGCACCTCATGCTTTTGCCATTTCTCCAATAGTGAAAAGAAATGTTTTCTTCATGCTGAAGACAGGCTCCTCAATGTGGATATTTTTAAATATTACATTGGATTTGCATCAGGCATTTTATTTCCTATGTTCCATCATAGAACTTGCAATAAGGTGGAATAGCAATTCTTTTTCTTTTTTTCAAAGTAGCACTCAGTTCAGAAAATGTCAAGAATGTCAAAGTTCCCTCCTTCATACCTCTAATGGACACCCAGACAGACATGACTGACAAATTGTTAACACATCAGGTAATTTGCCATGAAGATGAAATGCAAACATAACTGCTTTTCAGGAAAATTTCTAAGCAATCAATCATTTATTATATTACAGAAGTTTTTATCTACAAAGATATTTATGTAATGCATTATATTATGACATTATTAATATTTTTGATAAATCAGGGCTGCACCGACGTATTGACAACCACAGAGATTCGCCTCTGGTGTTGCACCATTGACGCCATGGCTACAGTAAGGTTGGAAGCTGTCGATGCCGAAGCCTGAAAGAGGGCAAAATGCAAAAAAAAAAGAAAACTACGTGAGTGTGAGCGCGGTTTGTTGCCGAGCCCGCCTGTCTCGCTGAAAGCCTTCCCCGCCGTCCTCTCCCAGAAAAAAGTATCGATCAGATTATGCGAGGAGTCCTCGATTTACGTCGTTTCGATATAACGTCGCTAACATATACATTGCGTCGTTCCTATGTGACGTCGTAAATCGAGGACTTCCTGTATATAATTTAGTCCATGGGAAAATAGGTTTCGTTTTACGTCGTGTTTTCCGGGAACGCATCCACGACACAAATCGAGGACTTATTGTATTTCAGCCCGATTGTAGGAACTGGTGGAGGAAAATACCCGTAAAGATCGTGAAATAATTGCATCTCCTTTTATGCTGTGCATTAGCGAGTAGTGCCGTTAAGCCCTCATATCAGCAATAGGTAACCATGACGGACGCAGACAGGCTGGAAAGGTCTAAAAGTGGTCTCTATCGTTTTCAGGAGACTCATTGATTAGTATCATAAGGCTTCCAAATAGGCCTATTTGAATTCGTATGCGATTTCACTTTACTTTCGCAATCTATAGAGTATAAATCATCATCGGCTCTGGCACCGGTCAATGGGTACGAGTTCAAAATGCGCCATCAGTCTACCGGTCAAATGTGGCCATCGGCACGGTCCTAACATGAATATAAAGATGATAACATTATTTTAAATCGGTGGTTCCAAATGGAACCTCTGGGCACGAAAGAGTTGAAATAAGACTATAGTCTAGTGATTTTTGTACGAAGGTTTTGGGATCCATCTAGGCCTGGGTTCTTCGCGCTAACATAAGCGATGACTATTTTCGCAGAAAGTACGGAGTAGGCTATAGTAATGGCATTAGGCCGAGTTAAGTAGATGACGCTTCTCATCTCTCTCTCGGGTGACTGGGTCGCTTATGTCGCGTGACAGGGTGGCCTGGGCTCGAACCTAGCCAAGTCAAGTGCATATTTCCTAGTTCAAGCGCCAGCGTGCTTGGGAAGGGAGTACCCAAGCACAGAGCGCTCCTATCTCTAGATGTGGGACGTTGAGGAACCGCGGCAGTGAAGGTCGAATCCCAGGGGAATCCCAATGCAAAGGGGGAAAATGCTTATATTTTCAGTAGCCTAATACTTTTTTTTACGGGTCATTTAGGCATTTTCAACCTTCTGCAGTGTTTTCACTTGACTTTGATTCTCATGGATGAGGAACGTCCCATGAACGTGTGTTCGAGTCAAGTGAAATGTTGTCTAATGGGAAAAAGGTGAAAATATTCATCATTCGCTTTACATACTTAGCGTTTGGCATACTTCAGGTGTAATTTCAATATCGGTTATCGGCAGGTCATATATCGTTTTAGGCCGATATATCGGATTCACCTAATATCGGCCGATACCGATAACCGATAAAATATCGTTGCATCTCTAGAAAAAAGACCACGCCCTGGGCTCCAGGGACTCCTCCTGTATCAAAACAATTTCTCCAACAGCAAGGTAACAAGAACTGTGGTCTAACAGGAAGAAACTCTTGTTTGTTTGGTCACCCTTCTGCCCTAAATGCCTTATTAGGACCATTGCAATGACTTTTGTTTGCAAGGATCAAAGATTCATTGCAAGGGAAGCAGTTCCCATGTTCAGAAGATGCAGGCATTGCCTGTGAGGAATCAGTTTCTGAAGTGGCAAAGGAGGAATGATGTAGTTGCTTTGAGAGATGGCTTTACAGGGTGAAATGCTGAATGAAGTCTTTTGATGAGCACTTGAAAAAGTTGTAGATGTTGAAGTGAAATTTCATCAATTTCTCCTTGTGTATCTCAAAACTTTCTGAGTGAACCACATACCTGGCATAACAGAAATGCAATGAGAGAGAAAAAGTCACCTGGCATGATTGAGAAGTTTGACTGTTGCATTTGACTTTTCTTATGTCAAACATGCTTTTCTCTCAAATCTGACATCCATCACAGCAACACATTTGACTTTATAATTACCAATTTGACATAGCAAACCAATAATAATAGAGAAAAAAGATCAAACCAATTGGAATAGAAAGTTGAAAAAATGAGGAAATAATAGTCTGATGATTGTTAGAGCATGAGAATCTACAGCAATCACACAAATCTCCTTCACTTTTATATCTAGCACATAACTTGCATGAAACTGAGTAACATTACTAACCATTAGGTGTTGAGAATGAAGAACTCCGTCTCTGATGGGTCATATCCAGTCCAGAATCTGTGCTTGCTCTCTTGATTAGGCGGCGTGGGATATCTCGCCTGAAAGTTTCAAATATGATTTCCTATGAACCCCTGAAAATCAATTGGCACACCTGAACAATATCTTTAGACCATGAACTGACAATTCCATGGCGAAAGTAGATTCCAGTCGTTGAATCTCCTTCCCGATGTTAGCAAACCCATTAGCAAGGGCAATATCAGGAGCACTTCTTCCTTCATTGTCCCTTAAATCCACACTCCGTCTATCCCACTGATATAAAACCAATGCTGCTTCCATATGTCCCTTCTCACATGCACACATCTGTTTCAATTTAAATGAATATATATTATTTTTAGAGCCTGCTCAGGATCATTTATAGATAAATAAAGCATTGAGAGATCCCATACAAGTGGTGAGAATCCACGAAGATCACGACTCTGAGTGTCAACCTCTCGTTCCAAGAGTGTTGATGAATTTTCCACCTTCCAGTGCAACAAGACGCAAATCAGCCTGCCAAAGCCCAACAATTCTTCCAGTATTGTAATGGGACACATGGATGCTTAAACTAGTAAAAACATAAGCTAAGCAAACCGTGCATATCCAAGTGAGGCAGCTGCATGAAGTATGGTGGATCTTGGTGCATCAGCAGTACAAGCAGAAGTGCTTGGATTCCACTGACCAGGAATGAGATGACGCGCATAGGAGACTAGACTCTCCTCCCAGATGTCCCGTGGTTCAACCTAGGCAATTATAACTTGTATCATCAAGATCATTAAATGACAGTTTTGTTATATGCTACTGCATTTTTCATATCTTAGCCATAATCTTTTAAAACTTATAAAACTCAATTCCACATTTTAAAAAATTATTCGTATCAGTGTACCTGCAGTCAAAAATCACTTAAAACTAGGGCTGTCACAATGGCAGTTTTCAAAACATTGATGCATTGGACAAAAAAAAACCATATGGGGGGAAAGTGTACCCTTTTTGCCCCTCAGGATTCATGATGATGAATTTATTCACTCTCAGCTGCCATTATAACTGAAAGGAAACTCGGTTTATTTACATCCTTGTGGAGCAAAGAGCACTGCAGCTTTGTGGCAATATTTCCCATTTAGGAGACATTCACTGGGCACAGATGTAGCAGGAATAACCAGGAATTTCCTAGCAATTTTTGGGGGCTTTGGGTAACTTCTCACATTCTCTCCAAAATTCCAATTGGTTGATTTCCCCATTCCTGCTGGTATCTGCCTCATACAAACCCACATTGTTGATTATTGTTTGCTTATTCTTGTTTGAGACTTTCATATGGCAGAGCAATTTCAAGAGTCCTTCAGATTTCATCACTTTAGGTGGTGGAGCATTTGCATATCCAAGATTGTCTATGAGTTCTTCTCCTGTAACACCAGAAGGTTCCAAGTGAAATGTGTGATGGAGAAATTCACTGACAGGTGCTTAGACCAATGGGATACACTTGGAGTCCATCATTGAGTAATCTCCTTTCACATGTGAGAAGTCACATCTTGTGTGATGCCTGGGATTCCAAGAGATGAAATCTAGAATTGAGATTATTTCCATTTATGAGAATAAGCACTAATTAGGCAAAATGAATCACCAATGAAGCAAGGATCCAAGAAACATGAAAAACTCCATTTTCCTTTCTTCTGGGTGATTGTACCTGCCAGTTAGATTTTTCAAGGCCAGCTGCTTGAAAAAGTGAACAATTTGAGTGTCATCCTCTTTCCTCTTCAGGTACAAAATTATTAGTTTGATTCTATGATAGCTTAGGTTTTTCTTTCAATGTTGGATGCTTACCTTTATTTCATGGATCATTGGGAGTACTAAAGAAACTGACATGAAAGTTTCTGTGTTTTCAGTGCCTGGAGGGATTTAACAATAGGGGCCAATGCCTGCAATTGTGAAAAGGATGGGGAAACACATGAACTGCAGAGATGGGGGGGGGTTTTCTCAATTACCTATATTGCAAAGCTCTTGCACCTGATACCAGTCTTCCTTATTGAGAGCCAGATCACATACTTCCTTCTTTTTGTATGTGGATAGGACTTCATCAATTGCAAAACGGAGCACCAGTATGTGGATAAACATGTTGTCGGTCTAAATCCATCTAGTGGGCACATTTTGTATTAATTCATGAGAAGGGCACTGCTTTTCTTCCAGGACCATGTGAAGCACTGTCACGACAGAGGCACAATGCTTGAAGTGCCCAAAAATTTTCGTGCATTTCTTTAGAAGGGACACCCTTGCAATCTGTTGGTCAGTTCCAACTTTCAAAGCCAAATTAATGTTATGCCCAAAGCAAGAGAGATTAAGTAGTTCCAACTTACTGCGAGCATTCACTATATTCTTAGCATGGTCCTTGACACAGCACATCACTTTCAAGTTCACATTCTAACTTTGAAGCAATTCTCTGAGTCTGGCTTCTGTTGTATTGGCAAAATGATTCTCCCCTTCTGGCATTGGAAAAGTCCCCAGCACAACATGCTTGAGCTCTCAATTCAAGGAAATGAAGTGAGCCATGAGAGAAAGATAATCATTGGCCAATGACATCCATAGAACCATTGAGATAGCAAGGCTGGGTATTTGAGAGGGTTCTGTTAGGAGGTTCTTCCATCTTCAAATAATAATTTAAAAATCAAATCAAATAATTATGTCAATTAGAGATATGCCCAGCTGCAAATACCATACTGAGGGAATCTCTTTGCCATGAACTTCTTGAAACCACATTTCTGGGCTAGGCATAAAGGCAGACCATCCTGTGAGCCAGCATGTGATGTCTTGGTTCATAGTCTGGGATTCGGCACTGGTTCAATTCCACTTCTCCCTTTTCTGCTGGATGAAATCTGAGTCTTTTTGCCCTCTGGCCTTGGCTCCCCCTTCTTCATGCAATAATATGGTGGAATGATGATGATCATTGAGATTTGTCATATTCCCTGAATATGAGATTTTCATCCTACAGTGTACAAACATCATTTCGTGTTTCATATCCTGAGTGATGGTCTGACCATTCATTGCATAGAAATGAAAGTGTTCCCATAGAGGGCTTCTGAGCTTTGATGGATTTTTTTCAAAAATTTTCTGTCTTGCAGCCCAACCTCAATGACAAATAGCATTTGCTATCCTTTAAAGCAATATTGAGAGAGATAAAAGAGGGTGATTCAAGTGATGTCCATGTAAAAAGTTCATTTTGGGTTCACCTTAAGTAAAGAGGTAAAATGCCCAGGCCATGTCAAACATGAAAACTTAAACTGCATACTAAAATGAAAGATAGGAACATAAAGGGGGATTAACCAAAGTACATTTCTACATCAAGAGAGTAAAAGAACAGTCCACTTTCACAGCATGCACCTGATGAGATTGAGCTGAAGACAGAAAAAAATATTTCCTGTCTTTCCTCCCCCTCCTTCTCTACTTTCTGTCTCAGATTACAAAAAAAAAATTCATTATCCTTCCCTTTTTTCATATAATATGTCCCAGGCATTTCCTGGATTTAATTATGATAGAAAATTGTAAACCCATGCAGGTAATGCCACCTCTTCCTTTCCCTGCCCAAACAGATGTATAGTGCTGTACTCGCTTCAATCCAATGGGACTATTCTTCACTCAATTTTTTGGATACATTGCAATGGTTGAAAAACTAATATATACTTCCAGTCATCAATAATGGTATAAACCAATAATAGTGGCATCGATGTATCGACCTATCATGACAGCCCTACTTAAAACAGAATGCATCAGCAGCAATTGCCAATGAAAGAACTTCTCTGAAAATGGATACAGAATGGATAATTCACTACCATAACTAAGGCTAAGGAGGCAAAGATGTACGTGGATTCATGCCAACCATGCAAGACAGTACCAATCAGGAATCTTCACAGTCTATGAATACAACATTCAGAATTACTTAGAAACTCCACTCAATGCTTAGAAGTAATTTCAATAAGGAAGTTCAGACTTGATATAGATGCCTCAAACCTTGGCAAAATAGTTTTGGAAGAAAGATGACACCATCAGTAAAAACCTATAATATGCATGGTGTGGAGAACATAACTGAGACTGACATGATTGAGGGAGAGTGAGAGAGACTGAAGTCTCTGCAAGAGGTCTGCCGCAACAGGACCAGGTGCTTGGGTGAATGTCATAGTCTGAGGACTAGACAAGGGAGTGCCATTGAGAGACACATGGAACAAAGCCTTTCCAGGTGCATGAGATGGGATAGTGCAGGAGAGGACTTGTGGCTGAACATAAACAGCAGGAACAATCAGCCCATCAAAGTCCACCTGGTATCGGGTCTCCACGGAGGAAAGAGGGTTGAGATCACAGTCCAGCATAAGGAGCATCTTGGTTCCACCCTGTTCAAAACAGACAATGCCTCTCAAGATGCTCTAAAGGAGTCAAACACAAGGCAAAAAGAGAATTACTGGAGAACCTGGCAAGGTGCTGTCTGAGGAGCAAAGTCAGTGATGGACACCATGACATGCTCCTGATGTCCAAGGTTGAGATCAGGGAAGAGGGTTGGGAAAGGGTCTTGGGGAAGGGGCAAACACGGATCTCGGCTCTTTCCTCCATTCCTGCTTCCTTCCTGCTTTTGAGATCCACCATATCTCTAAATCAACAAAGCCAAAAACCTTCAACCAAAGGACACAGACAATAGATGCTTACTGATTTGTCCAATCGATCTCGGGTCCCACGACCCAACAGTTGTTGTACTATCATCTCCAGTGCCTTATTCCCTTCCTGAGTGCAAAAAAGAAGGGTTTGAGTTCCTTCTGCAGTGCTGAAGGACATGAGCAAATCCATGACATTTGCTTACCGCCTCCAGACCTGGCACACTCTCTCCATCCTTATTATCCAGAGAGACTGTTCCAAATATACCAAGAACATTCTTTCAAACTTCTTAGGTTCTTGCTTTTTTCCTGAATCTAGTCTTAGTAATTTGCTATTTCTGAACTTCCTACTTCACATTAACAAACATCATGGATTAGGGGTAGGTGTTAGCACACAACTACCACTACAACACATCACCAGGATAATCACATTACACTGAAAGCTTACAACACTTAAACTACAGTAGACCTAACTGTAAACAATCTGATTGTATGATACTTCTGAGGCAAGATGTCCTCTGGACTTGCAGTCAGGCTTCACCTCATGATGTATATGACTAGTGATGTAAATAGTTTTAGCATCAGTATTTGAGTATTTGCTTTTCTGCATAACCAGTGCCCAAGTTATTGGTTGATATGTTGGTCAAAAACAAATATCAGATAAAATTTCTGAAAATATCATGATTATTTTCTTTTCTGCATGAGATGAACCCTGGCATGGTTTCCTCATAGTAGTAGCAGCAGTATAACCAAGATCATGGATGGGTAACTTATATTGGTGGAAGCCTGTGGGGATTTTGCTGATAGGGGAGTAACAAAGGAAACAATGTATATCATGTGTATGGACTGTGTAGTACAAAAGATATAGGGCTACATGTAACCTAATGATAATTATTGGGTAGGGTCATTGCAATTATAAGGCTACCATTTATCAATTTTTACATTGGTTCATCACTAAATTTGAGTTTTGACTAGCATGGACTTGACATTATGTTTGCATCTTTTTATCATTTTGAAGGATGAAGCAACTTGTTTCTCACATGTAATATACAAGGCACATCTGAAAAGTCTTCGCAAATGATTCATTCCACCAGAAAGAATTGTACACGGTGCAAACTACGAGCAAGGTATAATGGACTTTCACTATGAACAACATAGCATTTTTTCAAATGGGTGATGGATGGTGCTACAGTATGAGGAAACATGGCAGCAACTAATGAAGCTGTGATTGAGCAGCACTTTGTGATTAAGTTTTCATTGAAAGAGGGTGAAACTCCTGCCAACATCTACAGACAAATGAATACAGTGATTGGCAATGCCTGTACATCACAAAGGACTCTGAATGTCTGGTGCAGGCCTTTCCAAGGTCATCAATTGGTGGCAACTGTGTTTTGGGATGCCATTTGTGACTTTCTCGTGGACTTCCTTTGGTTAAAAACCACCATAAATGCAAAATGTTACTGCTCAACACAAATAAAACTTCAAAGAGTCATCAACAGGAAACAACCCCAAACAGCCTCCTACAGCAGCAGGACAATGCAACTGCAAAGATAAGTGAAGATTGCAACACCTGGGTTGTAAACAATACCCACACCTGCCCTACAGTCCAGACTTGGCACCTAGTGGCCATTGCCACTAGGCTACTGTCTTTAGGCATCTTAAAAAAGCAATAACAAAGGAGCACTATCTGGATTATGCATCTCAGCAGTCACTGTCCAAACGTAGCTTTGCAAACAGGATGACTCCTTCAATCGTGATGAAATTCACTAACTTCCTGACGTGTCAGATGTGTGTGGCTGCAAATGGTGAATTCTTCGAGAAGTGACTGCACATGTGCCTCTACTTGTGGATGGTGAGTCACACTACATCCCTGTAAAAATTTTACTTTGTACAATTCTCTACAGTGGGATGAAAAAATTTTTGCAAATACTTTTCAGACATGTCTTGTATATTAAAACTTGGAAAATTCAAACAGTTTGTGACTAAGCTGCACATGGACACAATCAACTATTTGTTCCTTACAGGACAACAAATACATTAAATTTGGTAAATAGAATATTTACTTCTTTCTATAAGAAGAGCTTACACATTGGGCGGAGTTGCAGGAGGAGATCTTGTTGATTCCAGTCTTTCGATGGAAGTTTCACAGAGACCTCCACATCCTCATTGGATGTTGGTATCACATTCAAATAATGGACTAGCACGACATCAGGATTCTGTTGATGAAGATGGGAAACATCTCAGACACACATCAAGAAGTGCATTATTTTTATATACTTATGAAGAAATAAATATAAATTAAACTGAAAAATGAGATAACCTTATTCCTAATTTTACCTAAGATCAGAATGGCATCAATGAACATTTTGGTGAACTGGAGTAACAATGACCCATCTTAATGAGGATGAAGGAATAGTGGTGCTTAGGGGTGTTGTGTATCTTTTAAGAAAAAATAAGGAGTTAATGCATCAGAAAGAAACTATATCTCCCAAGGGAAAGGAAGATATCTCACAACTAGGGAGCAGATCAACCAATTTCTGTAGGAAAAAATATAAGAATAAAACATGAGCTGCTGATTTTCAAAAAGAGGTTCCTCTCCCCAACTTCCAGAATATTTCAAGAATGTACACTGTGATCAGCTTCCAAAGAATGAATGCCTGGTTTAAAAGTGCATATATTTCTTTTTCCATGCATATTTGAGAACTTTTCTAGCACATTTCAACACTTATTAGTGCAAAAAAACCTATTCCCAACTCATAACTTCCACCTTTCATATGAAGACTGAACTGAAGCTAACATGTAATGGAGAGTAACAGATGGCTAATACTTTGATAAGGGAATTTCTAGATGATTCCATGAATGAGCAACAGGAGACAGTTTTAAAGTTCTTTCCTCATTCAAGCCAAGTCATTCTCAACATGTTGCACCTCTTTCTTAACTCAAGAGGCCATAACAAACTTGGTATAACTTTGTCATATGTGAATTGAATCTCAATGCAAGGTATCTTAAGCCACAAGGTTAGAAGTAATGTCCTGATTAAGGGTCACACCTTCAAGCTCTATGGCATGGTTCAGGTTCTTCCATATGGGACACATCAGGATACATTTCTTTATGCACTTCTGTTATAGCAATCATGTCAAACAAGGATATTCAATGTCTTCTATTGTCAATGTTTCATGGTGACATGAAGTGTAAGGCAATCTGGCATATCTGAAACATTGTATCTGAGACTGTCATATGCCCAGAACTAATATGAGGGTGGGATAAAAAGAAACCTACTTACTGAGGAAGAGAGAAGCTTCAAGCTTTAGGTCAAGTCAAACATTCCTATTGAAACTAAGATGATTCAGACAAGATGTGTGGGAGGAACGTTGAGAAAGATCCAAGCTTACTTGAAGAAGCCAATAACACCGGCGATGGAATGTTGGCAAGATGGCTGAATGAACATAGCACCCATATATGCACTGAAACACACCACAAAGTCAATAAACTCAATACATCTGTCATCATATAGCATTATGTATTAGATGGAATTTCAGAAATTCTGTAAGACTCACCTCCACACCTTGTACTTTGAGTTTCATGTGATCTTCTCGAATGGTTTTCCCATCACGACGCTTCTTCCAAGAGTAACCATCTCTACGATACTTTGATCGCTTGCGATCATACAAGAACATAGAACCACTAGGCGGTCTGCCAAAAACAAATAATTACAAATTATATTATTAAGGTTGATAACAAGAAGGAACAAAGGATATGTTGCCAGTAGCAATACCCATAATCCTCTAGCAGAGAAGACTATATTTATTACCATTTTTTTTACTGCATGTTTATAAAAAAATTTGTGAGACTTACTTTGCTAATCCACAAAAGAGCACTATTAGGAGTGCACTAGGTATGAAAATAGGTTTAATTGAGCATTGCTACTTTTGCCTTGAAATAGTACCAGTAGATCATCCACTAAAGAGTGAGCATTACATTGTGAAATATAAGCCTAGCATCACAGCATGTCAGGTCTTTGGCTTACCTGATGGTGACGTCTTTAGCCAGCCATTCTTTATGTCGGTCAAAGCTGATGAGGATGGATGCTATTTCCTGAAAGTATTTCAACAGGATTATTGATTCAAGGAGGAAAGGAATAACTTGACAGATTCAAATTTACCTCATTTGAATTCCACTTATGCGAAAATGCAGGAAAAAGATGTGTTCTTGGAATTTGATCCAAGATTTCAGGTACCCCTGCTAATGTCATGATGTCATCATACTTCACATTTGCTTCATGAAGAAGATATATCAAGAGTTATCAGCATGAGAGCCACAGAGTGATATTGAGCTTCTACCATCAACATTTCCTTATCAAGGAAAAAAGTACCTGCAAAGGGAGGCCATTCATGGTGTGTTCACTCATGGAGAAAAATTTATGAAGCTAGATCATATTTAGGCCAAATGGTTAAAACAATAGCATGAAAGGCAAATCAAGCAAAGTCTGACTGCAGCTTACTAAGAATCAGTCACTTAATGCAAAAGAACCGAGCTAGCATTCTTTCAAACACCTGCCATGCTTATTCCCAGAGAATTGTAAATGACAGAGATCAGCCAGGTGTCAAGCAACTCTACAAGAAGTGCTGGTTTATCAGAAAATGCCAAATTATCAAAAAGTTAGTTAATTAAAAATTTCCAATTATGTTCAAAAATGTCTTTAAATGCCTATAAAAGCCTAAAAATGCTCCAAAAGGTGTAGAATGTCTTGGAATTCAGTATAACATGAGTTAAAACACAAACCAAAAGTTCATGAAAAACACTTAAGTAAGAATAAACATTGAATTCAGACCCTTAAGTATACACCCTTCTGATCATTCTATTTCATGCTTTGAGCTGGATTCCCAATCCAAAGATGTTGACTATACAGATTGCCTACGATATTCGTGGGTCTTCCTGCTAATGCTCTAGAATTTGTCAAGGTGTTCCATGACTCTTGCCTTTAGAATCAGATTATACTTTATAAGACCTGCTTATTTGTGATACTGGAATATGGGCATGCTCTTCCAAGTCTAGGTTGTAGTTGATAGCAGTGAGCTATCAGCTATATATCAAGTGCATATGTACACATATGTTGAAGGCCTTACACTTGAATGGCTTAGGGTTGAATGTCCTTTTCTTCTATTTCTTGTGTCTATTTCACAGTATGTAATACAATTGTCAATACAGAGGGTTGTTTTGTTACTATAGTAATGAATTTAACAAGATCTTCAGGGGATGACTTTCATTCTTTCCACCAGCTACCATGCTCAATGCCCCTGCATGTTGACTATAGCCCAACATCTTAATTTCCATTATAAGAAGCTCCTCCTCATTACATAAAGGGTCAACTTTTCTGCTCTTCCCTGAAGATTTTCCTGAGTTCATTAGGCCTCTCTGGTTGCCTGCTTCTCAAGCATCTCTTGAGTAACCCAATCCCGCAAAAATCCATAGGGTACACTTTAAGAAACTCAACAAGAGTGTTTGAAGAAGGAAGGACATAAATATAGGTCAGGTCCTTCATCTTCTTGTAAGATCTCTTAGAAGTTGAAATGTGGCTGCAGGCTTTGTGTTGATGTACTGGAATGAAAGTGGTGGCATATACATAAGCTCTGGGAATTTCCTGCTCCTAAGGAAGTTTTGAAACTTAATTCTTGTGAAATTAAGAGCTTACTTTTACTTTATACTTGCTTTATATACGCCTACCGTGGCTAGCATTAGCAACATTGGTCTCTCCCATGCAAATGGGCCCCCAGTAGCTCGCATCAGATGGAAATGGGTGAAAAATCTCGGATGCGTCGCGTAGCCTCAGCAAGATTCGGTGTACATGGTAGTGTGTCTAACGTAAACTAGCTTCCACTGGAACCGCAAGTTTAAAAGTAGGCCTAGCACTAAAACACACAATCTCAGTCTAATGACATGTGCTTTCCAAAAATCCAGGCCTATGAAGCGAGTTAAGGCATTTAGCAGCAGTGAAGTCAATCAAAATTCACTATAACGTAATGCCATCGTAACATAAGCCCTGGTTAACATTTGAAGATTGTGGCTTTTTAACGATTCGTCTAACTAATGAAAAAGTTTTGGGCTCGAGGGGGCAAGAAAAAGTAGGGGAGAAACTGGTGGACTGCCAGTGTATGTCCGAAAATGCTAAAATTGTTGGGCTTAGCACAAAGTTGATAATTGGCATCAGGCTAGGCTAGTCCTGCCCTGATCTCAAGCACGAGATTGCGAAGTAACACGTGGGTCGCCATGTTGATCCTCTATCAGGCGGACAGTGAAGCGCGCGCACTCAAATTCTTACTCGTCGTCATAAATCGATGAAAGCACCGGCAACCCTCCCAAAGCCTAGGGGAGTTGGTTCGATTCGTCTTCTGTCTCTTGGTTGCTGGCTAGATGGTCTTAACCTTCTCAGATCAGGATTCTCGAGATGCGACAGGGAGAAAATACGATTATACAATACTGGTCAAATCTCGTTACAACGAACTTCAGGGGGGTGACCTGATTATTTCGTTGTATCGAATATTGCTCGAAATAAGTTCAAAAGAAATTTTCTTTATTCAAATTAGCTATGTCTTCCAATGTACAGACCACAGATGCAGTAATTTTCCACTTTATTTTGTTTGGAGAAAATCTGTAATTTTGGATTGCTCAAGAGTTCCTGTTGCCTTGTCAATGTCATCGTAGAACGCACAGCGCATTCTCTTTCGTTTTGATCTCAGAGCCGCTTTCCTCAACTTTTCTTCCATTTTGGCACGATCCTTCGAGAACGTGAATAACGTAGAGGGAGTGATGCCGAATTCTTTTGCCACGTCTCCTTTTTTCCTGCCGGAATCTACTGCTTCCACTACTTTCATTTTTTCTTCCGACGAAAACTGCCGGCGTTTCTTGTTTCCCTTGTTAGCCATGTCTGCGGGATGGGGCGCACAGGTACACTGTGTTGTAAGTGATGAGGTTTTGGCCACGCCTAGCCTGCACCGACTACTGCACGTTCCTCCTTGCGCTAACACTTTTTATGCCACAAGCGTGGGAAACAGAGAATTCGGACTCTCTCAAGATCCAAAGGGAAGGAGCGAACCATAGACGATCGTCTCTTCGCAAACAATCAGGTGTTAGATATTTTTTCGTTATAACGAGTGACTATTATACGTACAAGGACTGGAAAAAAAGGGTTCGTTGTACTGAATTATTCGTAGTAACGAATTTCGTTGTAACGAGATCTACAAAGTACTATTACTATGGGCCATCGGCCGGGGCTTGGAAATATGTTCGTTATAGTGGGATTTTCATAGTAACGGAATCCGTTGTAACGAGATTTGACCTGTATAAGATACGATTGCAGGGATTCTGTGGTAGTATCAAAGTGGCACAAATGACTTTGAATGCCATTTGCAAGTATCACACACAAGTATCGTGGAGGATGGGTTTGTCTTCATTGCCACGGCTTTGCAATTGAGCTTACCTTTCCTGCTGAAAGGTCACTGCGGAAACAATACAATTTACAGCCTGACCTCTATGCTACAAAGAGACAATTTAGTTGGTGTAATAGAGTTTTTAGTTTAGTATAATCTGTTCCTCTTTCGATTTGAGTGTTGCGTCGCCAAATGATGATATACGGATTGTAGACGATAGTCTTTTCTTCAACCTTTTGTCGAAGATGCTGATATTTCTATTGCTAATATAATTCCCTGCCGTGGCGCGTAGAGCGTGGAGTCGGACTCAAATGAAGAGCGCCTCGCGTTTTATCAGTGATTCTGTCACCTGCATTCTGTCACATGAAGGTGTCGTGAAGCTAGGTTCAAGAGTTGCAATCCAGCGTGCTTGGATGTGTCACGATTAGGACTAATTGGCTCTACCGTCTACGCATGAAGTCATGACCTCAGGAACACCTCTGTCACGTCTGATGGAGGCAATGCTTCTATGCTGGAAGAAAGAAGGTGCTAGTACCTGTGCATTTTCTGTGACATCGAGACGTCGAATGGATTCAACGTGCACCGACTCGATCTAATCAGCAAGCAATAATCGATAATACTGCTGGTACCCCCAGAAGATCCCAAGAGGACTGCTTTCAAGTCATAAAATGTTATTGGATGATGAGAACAACAGCTCAGTCGATCGTCCGAGTTGTCTGAAAGGGAAGAACTTCGGAAATCTTTTTCTGACCAATCAGTTTCTTGATCTTGCATACTGGGCGAGTTCAGGTTCAGACCCCAAATCGTGTCCGAAATAGTGCAGTACGCAGTTGAACGAGGAACAAGGCATGGAGGGTGTAAGACCAAGATTTCTTATACCTGTACTTCATCTTAATGATCAATCGCCGCAAGCAGCTGACTTTTTGTTGTGACCTCTACTAAGAAAACACACTGAGGTTTGAAGTTGTTTGCATTTGGTAGCATAAGATTTCCCAGCAATTTTGCTGCCATGTTCAAGCAATTCTCAATAAAATGCAAGCGATATACTGACTTCTAAGGATGTGTCTCAGTAGTTCACCCATTTTGTTCCAAGGTTCAAGCAGTCGTATTATTCAAGGGATTCAGCATGGTCTCTTGACGTCTTGATTTCGCTCATTCATGTATTAAAATGAAACGGAGGCTAATGAGACTTAGTGTACGGGAAGGTATGGGTACGGGTATGGTAAACACCTTCAGGTTTGCGGAATCGGCGAACCAATATGAACGATACCATGTTGGAATGCATTGGCCACTCGATGCATTTTTTTCTTGTTTCCTTGCTCACGATGATACACATTTTTGTGATTCCGGTTTCATTTAGGACTCAGAACGCATCTCATCTACCTTCAGGAGCGTGGGTGAGCATTATTAAGGGTAGAGCTAAGTTCATGACGATCCAGGGAGAACCAGCTGGCCCTGCGCTTCATATACAGGGAGCAAGGAACGTCATGCGCAATTCTCTCCTAAGCAAGGATTGGTCCTCCGGTTCTTTCACATATCTGGAGTCCTAGTCCCGGTGGAAGAGAGAGTGTGTATCATTCTGGTTAATGCCATGCCTCGTGGCGGTGTTACAGCTCAAGAAAATATTCCCAATGCGAAATTGCAATTTGTCACCAGCTCCACTTCCGAAAATGAGAGATGGGTTGTAGTCGGTTCAAGTAAGCAGTCAAGAGACAGCGGTCAGATCCTCAAATGCAACGTCAAATCAGTGATTAAAATGAAATAAGCGGAAGGAGTTTAATCATGATGGAATACAAAAGAGAGATTCTGTTGGATAGGGCTGGAATATGTTGGTTGACCCAGCAAAAATGAAGGAAATCAATTGCATCTGCACATACTTAGTGTGGTTCCATGAAAACCAATTAGTTCAGGGTGAGTGGGACAAATGGAAGCCATGCAAGTCGAATTGTAATTATGAGAGAAGCAATCCTTCTCTTTTCCTCTAGTGAGTGAACATTTCACCTTTTCCCCATCTTATCCCAATTCATAATTTCTTATGGAGAAGAGTTAGAAGATTAATGACCGCACTATGTCAAACGGATCATCTGCATTTTCATAACCTTAAAAAAAGCCACCAGTTAGGCTCTGGTACATTGTTTGAACTTGCTTGAGCTTTGCTAAAAATTGCTGAACTTGTCAGCAAAATCGCTGGGGAAAATATTCTCCCAAAGTCCAAACTAGCGGGAAGGACATTGGAGAGCGCCGTTCGCAGTTGTTTGACTGCCTAGTTCATCTTTCAACCCAGTATCCATTTCTTCTGACTATTAGGTCTAGGTGAGTTGATGGTTTTCATTGCTGGAAGTATGGACAGAGCCTTACTGTCCCGCACTGTCTCCAACATTCAGCAATCTTGACCGGGGATAGATCACGGTTTGAGGTTTTCCAAAATGTTTCTGCTCTTAAATGAGGCCGTTTCTGAAAAGTAGTGTCGCGTAACTGTGTATTGTTTCACACTTTTGTCACAATAACCTTTGTGCGTTCACTCATGATGACAAAAGGAGTTTCAATCCAATATAGAAAAAAAAGAGAATCTCAGGTATTATAGGGCAGTTCCAAAGTAATTGGGACAAAAGTGGTATGAAAATGTTTTCCAAATTTCCCGACAACTTAATTGTAGGGATACTAGACTTGGACTAAATATGGGATCCATTAAACATGAATCACCTGAAATGAGATACTTTTTCATTACTCCTGCAACACTCCATTTTCATCAATTTAACACTTCATTCGTGAACCTCGTGTTAGACAATTTTGTTACGTCAGTAACGTTAGAAAACCCTCCACTCACTTCATTTGTTTTTATCATCAACAAATGTCATTTGGCACGAAGAAAAGTGACAGTCTATGCCTTCTTTCTGGAAAATATGGAAGCTTCGGGTCAAGCCATATTGGACGGATTTGAAGGGAAGCAACAGAACAAAAACTATTCTACGTCAGTAACGCAAAATGAATGACTTACTTTTCTTCATCCTTGGGAGAGATGAAATGAATAAGACATTTTTGGCTAGAATAGGTGCAAATACCTATGTTCTATCATACATATGTATAAGGCACTGTTGAAGAAGAATTTCTGGACAAAACTATCTTCAAGGTATACCATCATACTTCGTTTTCATTTTGATTCTGGAATTACGACAGCAACTTTGGAACTGCTCTATACAGGGTAGCCATAAAGTCTGGAAACATAGGACATGTTAAGACAATTTTTTTGGATTGGAAATGTCAATTTACTTGATGGGGTTCAACACTTCAAACGTCGCCTTCAAATCTGTATTGATTCAACGAGAGAACATTTTGAACGTTTATTTTAGTTTATTTGTACATTATCTTAATATATCCTTAATACGATCCTATGTTTCCAGCCTTTATGGCCACCCTGTATTATTGGCATGATGTCCAATGATATCCAGGTAGCCTCATGTGTGGAGCTGGTATATCAGGGTGTTAGGAAGATGTTAGATCTCTAGTCACAGAGACGAAAGCATTTTCTATCGAATTTTCAGTCACAAAAGCGTGCTCGATCGTGCAGTCACAGAGAAATTAATAGGACAATTCGTTCCCAATAACCATTACTTCCCTTTTATTTCGTGCAATTCCTGGAATGTCAACCACTCATGTAGAATATAAAACACAAGACACTGATGCACTGTTGTATCCAGTTGACTCCTTTCAGCCATACCAGCAAGGTATTAAGGGCTTTACTTGTTCCACTAACGAGAGGCTCAACGTTCGTTGCTGACACTCGGGACCGTTAAATTTCGGAGGTCTTCAATGATAATGTGAGCAATGGAATGTCGGAGATCCGAAGTAGTTGCTAAGCACCCCTTAAATGCTATTTCGCAGATCCTCATATCCCTGGCATGCAAGCCCAGGACTTTGGCTTTGGCGAATGCCGATGAAGGAGGCGCCTCCCTGAAACACAAGAGAATCCCAATGAAAGGTCTGGGGGGAGAAAAAGCGGCTAGTTTTGTGTTTATAAAAGTTGGGGTCTGCGACCGTTCTTCGTTTCTACAGGGGTGCCATTATGCCTAAGCGATCAGTACGATGCGTGCCTGCCTGGGAATCACGAGAAGATTCCATCGATGGTCTTCCCAAGACTATAACATAAAGATCACGAGATTCTAGGAAAGGAAAGGGGGAAAGCGGGAAAGGTTTCGTGGAACAGGTCTTGCACGACAAGCAATTATGCGACTTCGAGAATGATAGCCTGTCTCTTCTTTCGCATTCGGTCCAGGGGATTCTCTCTTACTTTTTCCAGCGTAGAACACAAAGTTTCTTTTCAGAACCAAAGGGTCTCTTTGAGTTGCAATTGAGGAATTCTCTAGAAAAAGGGCGTATGTGCAAAAGATGCAATTCGAGATAAACGATAAAAACGTCTCATACATCTCATATATATATCATAATCTGAAGCTGGTCAAAACTTAATTATCGGTAAAATGGTATCTTCGACTTTTTTCAAATTGAACTTGGGGTTTTAATGAATTTATTTATCTCACATTGCTGGGATGCAGGCAGAAAGTGTTTATGCACATACGCCCTTTTTCCATATCTGCATTGCTGAAACTTTTTCCGAGTCTTTCACCACTCCTTTCCAGTTAAAAATAATAATTAATCAATAAATGCATCTAAAAATTTTAAATAAACTCTTTCTTGAAAAAGAGCAATGAAAATGTGAATATTCAGGACATGTTTCATTCACCAATCACTCAGCAGTGATCCATTATTAATATATTCATCATCTGAATCTGCAACTACTAGTATTTCATGGATATATCCAACTTCTTAAATCCTTCCAGAGGCTTGAATGAACCCGCCTCTTTCTTTCCCTTTCCTCGTGTCTGGTTTCTTCTTCATTTTCACTATCACTTTAAAAGAACAGAATGATTCCACCAAATTGTTCAGCATGCAAGTGCTAATGGAATATTCATGGAGGCAGCCATATTGACATTGCCAGGCAGTTGGCCAGCTATATAGTGAGAGCATAGGAAAATCTGCTTCTCCTTTGCTGAATACGCATGTTAACTACTTGCTGACCACCCTATCCTATGACTAGTTACCTAAATCAGCGCATGGACACGGATATGGAAAAAGGGCGTATGGGCACATACACCCCTTTTCCAGAGAACTCCTCAATTACAGTAAGTGGAAGTAATTTTTTTTAAATAAGAGCGATCGACTGCGGTTAGGAGTTGGTCTCAGGGTGTTCTCGGTCTCTCTTTCGTGACTTGACCATATAGATTGCGGGAGTTACATTTTCCATCTTCAATTTCAAAATTTCCATGTTAATGCTTACCCAATGAAGGTTTTGATTAATGGATACAAGGAACCACCGAGGTCCCCCAGTTCTTCATCGCTAGAGGCCATGAAACTGCAGATTCCCTTGGAAAGGCATGGTATGTCATTCTCGTCGATCATTTCAATTGTGGAGTTTACCAATCTCTTCCCTGCGGATGAAGACCATTTCCGTAATTATTTTTCTGTTCAAGTTCAAATATACTGGTTCTATAAGGAAAAGGAGTGGAAAGAATGCTCACTTCGTTCTAGGTTGTCCTGTTGATCATTTTTGTTGACGGAAAGCAGACGATCGACGCTCCTCAGGGATTCTAAAATATCCCCGGCCCGTGAAATGCTCTCCCTCACAAAATTTTCTAGTACGGTTCTGCCCAGTGTCCTACGCAAGTCGTTTCCGCCTCTGCGGTGAAGTTTCATTTCGAGGCTGGAGGTTGAATCATCTGTAACAAAGAAAATAACGAAGTTTAGATTGAAGGAGTAAATGGGAAGGGGATTCCTTCCCTCCGAGTTTCAAAATTTTTCATTGGGTGAAATAAAATTAAAATATTGTACCAGAAGAGTCTCTAACCGTCGTGGAGGTGACATGGTAGTGACATGAATGACCCAGTTTAACAGTGGGAAAGAAAATTTTACTGTTTACACCAGTGCACGTATGTTTACGTTGCTGTTACGATCTGTTACAGATTCATTGAATGTTACATTTGTGCAATGCTAGCAAGAATTGATTGGATGAGGTTTTAACAGTTCATAATTTGTAAATAGTGGCATTATACTGTACACGGTGTTTCAAAAAAAAAACCTGCCAATTCATTTTTTATAGGAATGATAGTAAATTTCATCCGATCGGCCCAATATTTCACAAACTGCTCCACCACCGCCAGTTTGAACTGGCGTAGAACGTGATACAAAGCGCCAATTCTATTTTTAAAATTTGGTACATACCTTCTCTCCTCTATCTACTGTACATGCAATGTTTAAAAAATTAAGTTAATATGATATAATTTACTGTCATTAATAGCGAAAATAATTTGGCACAGTTTTTTTTAAAATACCAAGTAGTGTTTCCTTCCCTGCCAGCTGAAATTTTCCGCATTCCTCCGTCACTTTCAATTTGTTGTGTTCCTGGCGCTCATTAAGTGCTTCTTGCTGTGGCGGTCGGTGAGAAACCAGATAGGACATTCATAAGTGGATGTTGAGGATGAAGGGAAACATCACAGACCCACTAGGTTGCGCTTTCCTCAGAAAACAAAAATTTGGGAATGTACTACCTCCTTACCTCTTCCTTCGCCTCCTGAAGTATGCACAGTCTGGGACCCAGGAGAAACAAGGGAATGAATGCGATGATGCTGTCCCCTGGAAAGATGACCCTTGTGGTCAGAGTATCTTCTGCCGCTTCCCTCCAAGGAGCCAGAGCTTTCAATTCCATGATGTGATCCTTCATTCAGAAACCGGTTCCTGGATCCCCTAAGTCGATATTCCCTCAATCCATCATCGTCCACAGGCCTGCTCTCAGCAACGTGTTCTTTGGAGGAAATTTCATCACTCGGCCGCTGATGTCGCCTGAAGCTTTCATTGTCCCTGCTGTCGTGATTGCCGTTGTTGTTTACATTGTCCTGGTTCTTGAATGCTTCCCTTTCTTTGGAAAATGACTCAAAGCTTCTGCCGCGCAAACGATGTCTGTCATGGTCATCGTGTCTACTGTCATCATCGAGAGAGCGGACGTCACCTTGTCTCCCGCCATCTCGCCAGCGGTCATCATCTGACCTGCTGTCATCTTCTCTGCTGTCATCTCGCCAGTGGTCACCTTGTCTCCTGCCATCTCGCCAGCGGTCATCGTCTGACCTGCTGTCATCTTCTCTGCTGTCATCTCGCCAGCGGTCATCTTGTCTCCTGCCATCTCGCCAGCGGTCATCATCTGACCTGCTGTCATCTTGTCTGCTGTCATCTCGCCAGTGGTCACCTCGTCTTTCGCCATCTCGCCAGCGGTCATCATCTGACCTGCTGTCATCTCGCCAGTGGTCACCTTGTCTCCCGCCATCTCGCCAGCGGTCATCGTCTGACCTGCTGTCATCTTGTCTGCTGTCATCTCGCCAGTGGTCACTTTGTCTCCCGCCATCTCGCCAGCGGTCATCATCTGACCTGCTGTCATCTTGTCTGCTGTCATCTCGCCAGCGGTCATCTTGTCTGTTGTGATTGCGCCAGCTGTTAGCATTGCGTCCGCTATCAAAATCACGTCCACCCTCTCGAGAGGAAGATCGACCCTCCCAAGGCTGCCTTTGTCTAGTGCTCCATCCAAATCCACCGAGCGATGGGCGTTCTCGGGAAGATAATTCGTCGCCTTCTTGGTGGTGTCTGTCACTAGATCCAACCGTGCCATGGTTATGTTCACGGCTATCATCGCGTCCACCCACTCTGGAGGTAGACAGACTTCCCCAAGGTCGCCTGTGAGTCATACTCCGTCCAAATCCAACTTGTGATGGACTTTCTCGGGAGGTAGACAGACTTTCCCAAGGTCGCCTGTGAGTCATACTCCGTCCAAATCCAACTTGTGATGGGCTTTCTCGAGAGGAAGATTCGTCGTTGTATCGGGAATATTTACCGGGCTTCTTTTGTTCGTCATGGTCATCATCATGTCCGTGGCCATCATTGTGTCCACTCTCGAGAGAGGAAGATTGACCCTCCCAAGGCGGCCTTTGTCTAGTGCTCCATCCAAAACCACCGAGCGATGGTCTTTCTCTGGAGGATGTTTCGTCGCCTTGCAGGTGGTGTCTGTGGTTGTATCCATCCTTGTCGCTGTTATGTTCACGGCTATCATCACGTCCACCCTCTCTGGAGGTAGACAGACTTCCCCAAGGTCGCCTGTGAGTCATACTCCGTCCAAATCCAACTTGTGATGGGCTTTCTCGAGAGGAAGATTCGTCGTTGTATCGGGAATATTTACCGGGCTTCTTTTGTCCGTCATGGTCACCAACATGTCCGTGACCATCATACTTTTCAAGACCAGCATCGTGTCCACCCTCTCGAGAGGAAGATTTACCCTCCCAAGGCTGCTTGTGTCTCACACTTTGTCCATATCCATCGTGTGTTGGGCGTTCTCGGGATGAAGATTTGTCGTTGTATCGGGAATATTTGTCGTGGTTCTTTGGTCCGTCGTGGTCACCATCATGTCCGTGACCATTATCGTGTCCACTCTCGCGAGAGAAAGATTGACCCTCCCAAGACTGCCTTTGTATAGTGCCCCATCCAAATCCGCCGAGCGATGGTCGTTCTCGGGAGGATGTTTCGTCGCCTTGCAGGTGGTGTCTGTGGTTGTATCCATTTTTGTCATCGTTATATTCACGGCTTTCAGCGCGTTCACCCTCTCTAGAGGAAGATCGACCCTCCCAAGTCTGCTTGTGTCTCATACTCTGTCCATGTTCATATTGTGATGGTCGTTCTCGGGAGGATAATTCGTCGCCTTGGAAGTCGTGTCTGTGATTGTATCCATTCTGGCGATCATTGTGTCCATAGTCATCATCGCGTTCACCTTTTCCGTATGAAGATCGATTCTCCCATGGCTGGTTGCGTCTCATATTATGTCCATATCCATCCTGTGATTGGTGTTCTCGGGAGGAGAATTCATCTTGCAGACGATTTCTGTCAGCCTGGAATTCATTTTGACCATGTTCATGTCCACGTTGGGGTTCTGTGTCTCCTTCCTCCATTGAATCCGAGCTCTTTCTTATTGGTGGGGATACCGATATGGATGCTCTACCCAACCCGGGTATGTTTCGCCATACATCAAATAAAGCATTTGTTCCTTCACGTCTATCATCTCTCCATTGCCCCTCGTCGCTATCTTCTCGGCGATTTTCTGGAAAAGAGCAAAGAGAATACGTATTCCTGTAACTGTGTATACAATGGTGATCGACCAAAACCAGATGAAGACACGACAGAAAGCCTCAAATGTAATAAATTTCATATTATTACTATTAAAGCATTACAAAAGTAATAAATAGACTAAAAGACGGGGTTTCACCTTCATAATCTCGATCACGGTTTTCTCTGTATGAAGCAGAATGCCTGGGATTCCTTTCGATCAACTCCTTGACCCCGTCTTTTGCTGCTGCATCCTGAAGTTCAGGTCCTTTTTCAGCAGGTGTTTCTTTTGCGACGTCTTTATGTTCTTCTACCGCTGGCAAGGCATCTGCAACGGGTTCCGGCGTCTCAACCTCATCCGCTACGGCATTGGCTAATATGAAGAGGCCTGCCAAGGCCAACCTCCATTGAATTTTCATCCCTAAAGGAACCAGATGAATCTCTAGCTAAATGTATACGCTCATATGCCATATATAGTTTCCTTTCCGAATCTGAATTTCTAAATAGGTAAACAGCTTTTTTCTTTAATGAAGGAGTGGATTTAAATAACGGCTCCCACTAGCTATTGATCCATTTTAAGCACAGAGGAATTCTTGTAGTCGCGGGGCGCATGAGCGAGAATTATACAGGTATCCTAACCCAGACAACTCATCAGTGCTGCTGGAACGTTCGCGATGAGTTAATTCAAAGTCATCGACGTAGAGGGTTCAAGTTCACCGTTACAAGATTATAGCGTCAGTGTTACGTCACAGTGATACCTTCCGAAATCGAACTTGCACGTATTCCGTGGGTGGACAGGCGTTGCTGATGTGAAAAAGCTCTCAGGGTCATTTACCTTGAAACCAGAAAGAAGTACAAAAATTATTCCTCCGAAATCGAGAGATTCCCATTTTCCACATCTGATAGTGCTTTAACACTCTTACTGCCAAATTATTTCCATATACTTGTTAGTCAAGGCGACTCGAGTCGCCTTCGGCAGCAAAATGTTAATGAAAAGAGGGAATACATGACCAGTTACATGTTTGGAAAGATGAAGCTCAGTTCCTTAGGGAAACACAATGAAATTGGCATTTAAAATGTATCATTCCACAAAAAATTTTGGCAGAGGAGGGGTTGAGTTGCTGAGAGAAAGTGCTATATTGAGTTGAAAGAAAATGTTTCATCGAAATAGTCATTCTCTCGCCATAGAAAACGACAGGGAGTTTTTTTTTTGCTTCGTGCATGGTGCCTGCTCATTGTCATCGAAAAAAGTGACATGAAACTTTTTCTGGTATAGGATTTGACATCATTATATACCAATTGTAACTGCACCTTTCAAAGGAGCGGTTAAATAAGTAAAATGTACGTCCACACAGGATGCGGATTACAGTTAATTGGGTACATTTCATAACGCAACGCACTCGTCACCTTCCTCAATGTAGATATGTAGGCGGCAGTCTTTCTCAAAGTGAGAATTGCTTAATATGTCTGGCGTAACACCCCTGGAACTTGGAGAAATGCCATAACAGCGTTCACTTCTAACGCTGTTCCAGCATTGCAGCGAACGTTAGCACAACTTTAAAATGTCCCTTTTGGAAGCGTTCATAGCAACATTAAACCCAAAGACGTTGGATGAACGCTATTCTTACGTTCATTTTACAACATTGAATTAAACGCGCCTATCTCCAACATTACTGTTCTATTATTTTACTGGGAGTCTTAATGTCGCCGAGCTCTCTCAGTTTGGATATACGTACTCCAGCGAGAGGCACTTTCCCTCGATTGCTTCCTAGTTAGGTTTTGATTCCATTCATGAGATTAGAGCCTTTCTGATTTCTTCTCTCACACATCTGGTTCTTGACCAGCTCCGTATTTGCGCGTCTTATGAAATCCCTCGGGCGATCTTCCTCATACCAGAATATAATGTGACTCTTATAGAGGAGTGAGACAGCCTCTGCAGTCAAATATCGTACTCCTCTTCCAAGTGATTTCGGATGGTTCAAGCCATTTCATGGCTTCTTCAACACTTGGAGCAAGGTGGCCACGGATAGACAAGACGTGAGATACGTGGCGAAGAAATGCTCAACCGTTTGTTTCCCAGATCCAATCCCCCTTGCTCGGCTGCCGTGTATGATTGGAGAGGTGACCTTCACCGTACCACGAAGTGCAGGCAACTGAGGTCTGAGGGAGTGACTGAGGAGTCCCCATTGTGTATGTCACACTTATTTTTCACTCCCCCCCTCTACTTAGAAGGCCCTTTAGCCCTTTGAGTGGTAAGCCCGTTAATATACGTTCTCAAAACTTAAACGAAAGTTCCGTTTCCTGTTTTGTGTAAATTACCCTGTTTGAGTTCGCTGTATTTTTTGCCTTTCACGCTCTACAATCGACATTTATTTACCACATTATGAATTAAAAATTCGATAAATTTATCCTTGAAGGACCTCTGAAAATTTTTTCGAAACATCCTAGGAGCGCGAAAATAAAACTTATCACTCCATGGGTTAAAAAGTGTCGAATAAGGCCGAGTTCCTACTTGTGATGGACAGCATGCTGAATGCTACAACTGCACGCAGTACTGAAAAATCCATTCCAGCATGTCCAGCTGCTGGACTGCAATCCTGTGATGCATCAATAAATATGCAGCCGGATGCTGCATGTGTTCCGGCAAAAATTCGTGCTGCACAGCATGCTGGATTACTTAAAAACCATTCCTTTTTTTTTTAGCTTACAGTAGAACATGCAGTACAACAGATACAGTACAGCATCTGCTGCATGACCATGGAGTTTTGAGGTCTGTTAAACGGACTGCTGCTGTGTACGGCATCGAGCGTGCAGCATGTTGTACAATGCTGTACGGCAACAGGAAAATGAACTCGGTCTCAGGCGTGGAATCCCCTGGTTATTCGACGGCTCGTTCTGCTGGAGTATTACACCGACGGGCGGAGTGCCCGTCGGTGTAATACCCAAGTTGTATGCCTTTGCCAGGATTTTCCATCATTGACGGCAAGATATGCAAACACGAGTGATGGACTTTGACATTGTTGAAAGGGAAGAAAGATAACAACAACAACAAATAACGTTCCAATTCTGAAGGCAGCAATTTACATTTAGCAGCCTTATTACTGATGGTATCGTTTACCATTTTATATCCTCCACAGATTAGGGGCTCGGGATATGTCCGGGTGAGCACGGTGAAGGCCGAACCCGGGTAACGTGTCCCCGGAGTAACCGCACGGGTCAAAATGAGTCGCTCAAGGTTACTAGTTCCGGAGTTGGGGGCGCCGTTATGAGCCTGGAGCCTCTTGCGCACCTTATCGTATCATATAAATATCCCTAGGGTGAGACATGGATTCGTGCAAGGGAGATATACGTACTCCATGCAAGGGAGAACGTCGACCATTAAATGCAACAATGCTCCTGATATTCACTGATATGAAATACCGATACAAATGGAATTAAACTTCCTCACGCGGAGCTTATTTCAAAGTGGTCAGGGGAACCGCTAGTTATAAAGCTTATTTTCCAATAACTTTGAGAAAAGTGGTGAGCCCTTCCTTGGTTTTAGTCTAGTTGTTTTGGGTTCGTGATTGGAAGTACAAGTAAGGTATGATCCTATTGTATTCGGCTTCAGGAAACACCTAAGTGTAACATTTGCTCAAAAAATTCAATTGTAAATAAAACGTGTTTATGACACGGTTTGCTCATCAAACTTATTTTAACACAATTACCTTGACCATTCTCGCCACATGATAAGTGGAGGATCGTACCTTGTGGTGTCGGAGGAGAGTGTCTCCGCGATCACAAGTGGAAGTAGTACCTTATGGTGTCGGAGGCGAGTGTCTCCACGATCACAAGTAAAAATTAAATGCTGACTGACAGCTTACTTCCTTTAGCTTATACAATATATAATTAGGCCAGGAGAGCTGGTTCGATGAGGTTTCTGACCTCATCGTCAATTACGTAATATGAATCCAGTTCTGTATTGGATCTGCACAGGCTCCTTTATCTGAACCCGGTCAGCTCTTATTCCCTTATTCAGGCGCCTCCTATCAACGAAACCATGTGTTCATCGGGAAGTGGGGGAGAAACTGGCACATAACCGGATTGCATCAGAACGGGTTCGCATGGCCTAAGCCACACCGGGCGGGCGACTCATCAAACAATGAGATTCCTCTCTCCTGAGGGAAAGAGGGACTTCTTGGTGCGCAACATGTCGAGGACGGAGTTGGGGTGGGGAGGGGAGGAGTTGGGGTGGGAGGGGGGGGGGGAGGGAGGACGGACTTGGAAAAACCCAATATAGTTGCTGACTCAGTTTCTGGGAATGTTTGAAACATGTTATGCGCTGAGAAGTGGGATGATAACAGAAGGGTAGGATTCAGGCCTCTGATTCCTTAATACCACCCATCGTCCGGTGGAGTTCCGGATTCAATGTTCATGTTTGGATCAAGCTGCACTAAATTCATTCAGTCCAAGCTTGTATTATTGGTCACAGCTTCTCATCGCAGTTATCTGAACCCTTTCTCTTAACCCTAGAAGTGCCAACCGTCGATAATTTCGACGTTGGTAGACCACCGTGCTGCTTCTGGCACTTCTAGGGTTAAGAAAAACCCAATGTAGAAAAGGAAATAAAGCATCTTCGTCGTATTTTCTTCTTATACGAATGGCAGAGTTAAAACCTTATTGCATCGAAAGGACACAGTATGTGTTCAAAGGGAGCTGCGAGATGTCCTCGTTTTAGCCGAACTCAGCAGGTCCCACTGCACTCGAACTGGAATGGGTCCTTTTTCGTCTGGGTGCGCGTCTTATGACATACAAGAGAGCCAGGAACTGCGTAAAAATGTACTTTCGGTCTGAAGCAGTATGCAAAATAGCTTTCCAGTTTTCCACTCTTATCAAACCAATCTATACTACCCAATCCAGTTGTCGACTCTATTCTTATTTTGGATTGCTCAAGTCAAACAAGAACGGATTCGTTGAAACCGAATCCCTCTCCAGCGCAGGAAAGAGCTGAGAGATGGAAAACGACAGAAAATCTAATTGTTGGGAAGAAAAAGGAAAGGACGGTAATAAAGGGTGTTCCATCTTATACTGCCTAGCATTTTTGTGACATACGTCTACGAATATAATACTCGGAAAAAGTCACATGGAATAAACATGTGGCATAGCTCTTGAGAATTGCAATAAAAGTGTTCGAAACGTCATCGATGCAGCCTAACATCAAATTTACACTGCATTCTTCAAAGTGGTAGAAGACAGGTCCACAAGTGCATTCAATACTCTCAGAAAGATCATTTAGTGCACCCGGTTTTCGAACTGAAAAACATTCTTTCTGATATACTCTGATATAAAGGGCGAGCGACTCATCAAACAATGAGATTCCTGGTTCCACCGCGGATGTGCTCTCCTGAGGGAAAGAGGGACTTCTTGGTGCGCAACATGTCGAGGACGGAGTTGGGGTGGGGGGGGGACTTGGGAAAACCCAATATAGTTGCTGACTCAGTTTCTAGGAATGTTTGAAACATGTTATGCGCTGAGAAGTGGGATGATGACAGAAGGGTACTTCGTATGTTATCTCGAGCTTCAAAGTGTGCAAGATGAACGCCAGGGCCGTGAGCACTCGTATTCTACGTGTTCGGTTAACTCAGGAACACCTAACGATTGGAAGACATCAGGAGCGTCATCTAAAGACATTTCTACCTCACAGATGAATTTAAAACCAGATGGACTTTTAGGCGAAAATCCACCTGCTGGTCCATCTGGTTCCAAATTCACTCAGGGGGGACATCCTCCTGGTTTTAAATGCACGTAAGCGAATGGCCAGGTGGATTTCCACCAAGTGAGACGTCCACCTGGTTTCTAATTCACCTCCTATCCACCTGTCGTTCAGCCCCATTGGATGTAGATGGACATATTGTAAGGATAGCATCGCATGATTATGCTTTCACATTTGTTCAATTTCTGATATTGAGCTAAATATATCATAATGAAACTGGACAATATAAGATGGAACAATGGAGAAATAAAAAGGCAGAATCGTAATCACAATAGAGTCTGAAGGGATGAATGCCGAAACTATGCAAAATCATTTGTGCTAAATATCCTAAGAAACCTTACTGGATGGAGCACCTCCCCAAAGTGGTGGTGCTCCTTTGCCTCATCATGGTGCATTTAAATGCACCATGATGAAGCACCATTGAACAGCGAGATCGCTGGAGCGGTGCTTGGAATGTTAGGCTTCCAAGTTTGCTTGCTATTTCGCAAAGGTTTAAGAATTTTTTTTTTTTCAAAGGGGAAATGAAAGGAGCGAGGCTGTTCTTTCTTATGCGGAAATAAATGTTGGTTATCTGAGATCCGTTCCACAAAGATGACCATTTTGACATGGATTCCAGGCTCCTTTGAAGCTAGGCAATCACTTGCTCCTTTTACGAAACTTTCTCCTTGTGTACCCCATCAGCTTCCATCAAAGCGCTCGGTCTAATTATCTTGACTCACACATAGCGGAGTACAATCTAGGGCATCGATAGAGCCTCATAGGGGAGCGCGAAGAGAAACTTTGAGAAGTGGAACTTTGTGAACTCGCCTTCTACGTTTCCTTTGTTAACCATGCTGTTGGATAGTCATCTCAACACATCTCTACAATCTGGAATCCTATCTTACTCACGCCAGAACTCCAATTAAATTAGTAAATTTTACCAGGTTATGCGTATCTTATGCTCCTTCTTTGCCGCACCGCATTGTGCATATTTGATGATGAGCATATGGAAAGCCCCCGTCTCCATAGCTTTCTCTTATTGCTCATCAAAATGAGACACCATCCAATCACTGCTAATGGCTTAATGACACCATCCAATCACTATTAATGTCGGAAGCCATAAAAGAAACCCACAACCTCCCTGAAACATACATTTATCGGTCGGTATTGTCTTGCCTAATATTGTAGCACAGGAAGGAAATATAATTCGTCCAAACTTCACAACCCACCCAGAGTTTCAGAGATATCTGCAAGTCATCCGAGATGTATAAGATCACGATAGGGTTCGGCAAGTTCGTGAATTGTGTCAGTATTTGGGTCCGATCCCGAACATCTAAGGTTGGCTTCCTCGATGGGCCGGTGTTCCGTCCCAGTACAATTGAACTCGCTTGAGGCTTGTTTTCAAGTAGGGAGAATTCCTGGATCAATTTCACTTTTGTGATATGTTCGTGCCAGCCATAAGGTCTTTTTGGAAAGGGTTTTCGAGTAGAGAGTAGAGGAAGGGACTGTTTCATCAGGATTGGTTTTTCGGTACAGCCATAAAACAAAAAAAGCAAATCAAAACATACACTTTGCAAACCATGACTACATGTTTATATTTTATTGAGACCAAGGTTCATTAGTTATTTTTCACGTTGAACTTAATGGCTTCCATTGTGTGCACGCAAAACGAATTCCCTAATAATTGCTGATTATGCTAACTTTCCTGTTCGTTCCCAACCTAAAAATTATGTTTATAACCTTCGTTTCGTTGATCTGGTTCATTCTAGAATATCAATTGTGACAGCTCACTTGAATCCAAGTTTAAAATTATATCTATGACCATATATAAACACAGACTACAGGTGCGCCATGTAGCTTGAAACAAGATGCCTCGCATGCTTGAGATTTGATCGTCATATTCTATCTATGGTGACAAGTCCTCAAATGCGAATGGAGTCGTCCTTTAATCCAGAAGCTGAAGGATAAAAATAAATAAAGGAGTCGAGCGATGTAGTCTAAATAAATCCGGATTGACTCAGTATTATGATGTGCTGCAAACACAGCTTTAGAAACACATTGCTTAAATGTCAGGAGCCGGAAGAGATGTAACGCAATAAGGACATTTGTACGATCACCAACAGGAGAAGCAGCATCGTCTCTCACAGGCGGAGTTGTGATTCTACTGAGAGGTGCATTCGAAAAGTACATTTCAACACAATTTTATTACAATATTACTGGTCGCACATTAGAGATCTGTGCACGTCTCATGCGACTCTGCTTTTTTTCATGCTGCGGGCTCCAATAAAGATGGATGGCCTCAAATTTTCAGTTACGGTCATAAAATAATAGCTTAGCCGGACTATTTGGCAAGGTTTCCACGGATTTTAAAGTATGTCTTGGCCCTGAGAAATGGATTCATGATGCTGTATTCCGTGTCAATCAGGAGCTTACATGCCCGACTCTTCCAAGAATAATCGCATTCTTGAAGATAAAGTTTTTCACCAGGTCATTGAGTGGGTCACTGTGTTGATGCCTAAGGAGGACGATCTCAACGTTCCCTACATTAATTCCCTAGCGTAGCGCCTCTTCACACTAGGGCTAAGGAGCTTGATGGTTGGTGCGTCTTCGAGGCCACCAAGTTAACCGACTATGGCTCCCTGAAGAACCGAAGTTAGGTCCGTGTAGATGTATTGAAGGAAGCATGGTTAAGAATGATATCGAAATTCCATTGTTGGTGGGAACCACGGCAACTGGAGAACAAAATTCCTTCCGTGACACAAGTTTCGAAAAATGTCCCGTCTGGGAGCTCACTCAAGTATCCTTTTAACCCTGGGTTACCGGGTCGGAAGGAGCATCGGCGAAGGTTCCTATTCCAAGGTCCGAGTGGCAGAAAGACTTTCCCCGGCGGTTTCAAATCGTGTGAAGGTCGCATGCAAAGTCATCGATCGCCTCAAGGCCTCGAAGGAATTCGCTACGAAGTTCTTGCCCCGAGAATTGTCCCTCATCAAAAACCTGAAGCATCCCAACATCGTGGACATTTACGAGATCGTGGACCTGGGAGATTATGTGTTTCTCTTCGTGGAACTCTGCCCACTTGGAGATCTCCTCGAGTGCATCAAAGCGAATGGGCAACTCTCAGAAAGACGAGCAAGCCACTATTTCAGGTTCTTCATCGATTATCTATTTTCTTAATCTTGCCAGGGGATCGATTTGTCGTCAAAAGTGTTCGCTAAAGGACTTGTAAGCCTAGGATATGCTCGTGGGGGACCTCTTGAAAGGGTAAACAAGCTTCGATTGTCCTCATTAGTCTGACCTTTTTTCAATGGCCATCCTCGTAATCTCAGTGACCTAGACCTCGTTCTCAACTGACGAACAATGAGGCCAATCCTGGAAAGGATGCACTTTAGGGGGTCCATTATGGATGGGCCTTTGAGCACTGATAATGGGGGATGTACAAAGGAAAAGAACCTGTGATTGTACTATTAAATCCATGCCAGGCAGCTGATGGAAGCGATCAAATATCTATACCTGCATAGGAAGAACATAGCCCACCGAGACCTGAAATGTGAGAACATCTTCCTGGCCTCGAATAGTATGATCAAGGTCACGGATTTTGGATTCTCTCGTTCTGCCCTGGATCCTGACACTGGTCGCCGGGTGTTGTCATCTACATTCTGTGGGAGTGCTGCCTATGCAGCTCCCGAGCTGATTCAGGTCCTTGTTTGTCTCGCATTCTCGACCGACCTTTCTCGATCTCTTGCTCTTGACCCTTTTTTCCCTTCGTGGGGAACGAATAGGGCACCCCATACAACCCGATGATGTGTGACATTTGGTCGTCGGGTTGCATCCTGTTCATCATGGTGTGTGGGAGGATGCCTTACGATGACGCTGACGTCAGGTGCCAACTCACTGCTCAACTTAATCGCAAAGTTGAATATCCCCCCGAAGCCTACAATCGATATTCCTCTGCCATTCAGTGAATAATTGGGTGAGGCGCGGAAAATGTCTGCGTTCCTTTCCTTTCCTCCTTGTTAGGCGTCCCGTTGGCCTTATCCTCTGATTAACTCCTGTCGGATTGCATTCCGTTACGTGCCGGAGGAATCAGGAAATGTCGCCATCAGTGGCTTCTCTCCTTTCTGTCCTCGGAACATCCTGCAATCCTAGAAATACGAGATGGCAAGGAAGTCGAATTTATAGGCGCCGAAGAGAATCAAAACTTTCTAACTCCCTCAGGCTTTACCACTAGGCCGCGTAATGACGTGATCAGAGGGTTAGGGACAAAAGGGATTAGGGTCTTACTCTATAAAAAAAAAGGATGATGATAGCCAGTCATTAATTCTTTACCCCGTTGATACATAATTTAGGCACATCCTGGAGCCAGATGTGACTCGTCGCGCCACCGTGGATCTCATCCTTCGTCATGCATGGCTCAGCAGGCTTAACTCGATGCTTTGAGCACATCAACTCGCAAGTGCTGTTCAACTTGTAACCAGAAGGGGTCCTATCTCACTTTCACTCTTTTCCTCCCAGCAATAAAGTTCTTGATCAGTGTCAAAAACCATCCATCTCATACAATTCCATTTTATTCCATTTTTGACATATCAGATATATTCGTAGCCATATCCTCATATGGCTGCTTCATATCCTCCAGCATCGACATAGTGCCAGTACTGGCAGCAATAAAATACCGGTAATAAATTATGCCAATCAGCACAAAAGTAACCTCTCAGACATGGATAATGGAAGGTGGGATAACCTGTCGTAACACACGCAAAGAGCTGGGCTATCCAATGCCTCTACTGTAGGACATTACTGGAGGGCAGAGGAGATCGCTGGGACTCAATCACAATCGGCTGCAGTCAAATTTATACGAATAAGCGGTATGGGTTTCTCAAGACCAGACCTGTACAAACGAAAACGGGGAAAAAAAAACTGTAAAATAAATCTGAACCTCTTGCACAGAAACACCCATGCCGAAAGTTCTTAAGTATTATTGCACGAACCCAGCCTAGGTAAGAAGCATCTGGTGCCGGTTCAGTAATAATCCCTCTATCACAGATGGCAGTAAGAAGCCTTCACGTGCACCGTTTCGATTCTTTTTCTTCGAAGAGGGCTCTCATTTGTCTCTTCGCCCCTTCCTGCGGATATGTGAAGCATCGGAAGTTTTTGGCACTGCCCACACGGAAAGAAAACACATCATAACGCACGTCCTTCGTGATTTAAGGTCCCGGTGCGACACCAATGGCTTTGAGTTCAGTGAAGACTTGGGTGAAGTAGCAAGGTTGGGCGTTGACTTTGAGCATGCTGGCGGAGAAACGGTTTACGATCATGATGCACCGATCCCAGAACTTATCCTTGTTGTCTTCGACGAGGAAGGGTTTCAGAGGATACGAGATCTCGTTCCCCATATAGGAATAGGACATGTAGAGAGCGGTGAGCACCACGGCCTGAAGTTCGTGCTCACTCGCAATGTCCTCTCGAACCAGGTCTCGAAGGATCATGTAGATGAAAACCACATTGGCCGGATTGATAAAGGCCACATCCTGTAAGGGAAGGAAAAAATAATTATCATGCAGCATCTCAAATATTTCATATTTACACGGGAAATCAAAGCTTGTAACTTCCGTGATTTGTGCTTGTGTGAGAAAAATTGTTCCAATTAAGAAGAAATACTAATGATACAAAGTCCTGGATAGAATAAACTCTTTGACTTAAAAATAAAGTACTTTCGTTTTATTTTCCGTCCAAAGAAATCCGTTTGTCGAAATTGGTTTGATTTAGTGCCTTGAAGACGCCTCAGTCTTCGGGCATTAGTGAGTACCGTTAGCTACACCTGGAAAATATCAGCCAGATCATTTCTTTCATTTAGTAATATCCTCGAGGTAATGATGATGAGTGCATATCCTGGATTAATTGGGCCCCCTCCCTTTTAATTGCCAGCTCTGCAAGTGTGTTGCATCATTTCCAGTTATCTTCTCGTTCTTGAGTTGGAATCCTGAGATCTCATGTATACTGATGCGAATGAGATGGAAGCGGCTCTTAATGGCCGGAATCTCTTCAGGAGGCAATCTCCATATAAATGGCAGTCCCTTTGAAGGAGGAAACAGGAATGCATGCTGGGAGGCAAGAATAAAGCGCCAGTGACGCATTCACTCGATAACGCCCCCCTCTCCTTTCTGGGAAATTCCTTCGACGGCAAGGGAAAGAAAATTTATTTTTCAAATATTCCATTTCTCCGACTTCTAGCTCAGGATGTTATTGGATCACCTCCTGTCTCAGATTTCAATTGCAGAGGAATTCGAGTGCCGATTGTCCGACCAGAGCCTCTCATGGATGCCTACGGTTGCGTCATGCCGGATGGGCTTTATGCAGTATTTTAAGTCAATCAGCATGCGAGACAAACGACAATACAGTACAATTCAGCAATACAATACAATAATACATCAATATCTTAGTGGGCTTCAATTATCAGGCATTGAGGTTCAGAGGCATGTATGCTGATTGAAAATGCAGCGATTTCACTTCAAGCAACTAACACTGTAACATTCCTTATTGACAAGCGATGCGACATTGTGGGCAATATTCGCGAGAAGTAACACCGCATAGCGTTTACGTCCGTCTAAATTTCAGCATTTTATGCCACGAGGAGCATTCCACGAATCACTACGGCGTGACAGCTCATCAGGCAAGAAGAGGCAGTGCGGAGAAAGGACTAAACGGTATTTGCATTCATCCAGAGTGTCCGAGGCAATTTGCCCATAAGGTAATGGCAATTTATGAAATGAAGCATGAAGTGCGGAAAAATATTGACAGGAATAAGGAAATTTGACGCATTGAGGCGTTGCATTGCAGTACTCAATGTGTCCACCAAACATTTCGGCAATCGTCTGACTGTAAAAAGTGAAGTTGGCAGCAAAATAATATGACTTAATCAGAGTCCCTGTGGTACTCTGAATAAAGTGATTTGCATGGCAGCCGTGACACTGTCGTAAAGTTGTGATAGGGTCTTAATATTTTTTTATATAAATAATAAAAAAGGAACTTGAGAATGCCCCATGAAAAGTATTCGCAAGAGTTAAGGTATGGTAAGATCACCACAGACCCTTTGTTGCAAACGTCACTTTTTGAACATAGGCAGTTACCGAATTTAATTTTGGACGCATTGAGAGTTGGTTAGTACGTAAATAAAATTTCACCGTTCTGTCAAACGAAGAATCTTGCTTTCTTCCGCACTTCCTGTTTTTTAAATTGCCTCCACTTTTGCGGCCAATTGCTTGAGACTCCCTGCACGTAATATGGCCTGACACGCGAGGTTTCCTCGTTATTCAATGTCCATGTCGATGGATGGACCGCAATCCCCCCATTTACGTAGGAGCCTCGAACACATTGCTCTTGAAATGAGTCTTTATGGAAGGGGACATAACAGGAAAGTGAACCTGCATCGACATCATTAGCGTCTCATCAAAAGCGAGTTCCTCTCCCCTGACCTCCAGCCTCTGAATGAATGGAAGAGGGGAAGTGGAGAAGAGGGGATGAAAAACGCTGAGGAAAGCGGGGAGCCGGATGCATGGATCGATCAGCGTTGCTATGGCAACGGATGATAGGGAAGGAACGACCCTCCCTTCTTCCTCTAGGCGTACAGTGGGCGAGAAGCGTCTCGTCTCTCCGCCTTCATTCATAATAATTATGGGGGAGAAATAGCGATACATATATAGGGATTCAGAGACCTTAGGCAGACCAGCTCATTGCACGGAAGGCATTACAGAATGATCCTGCTCTAGGCTATAATTATACCACAGCACATCTCGTCTAGAATGGGTTTTGGGAAAGGATGACACCTACGTGAGTGTTTTTTCGCACACCATAGGTGTCTGTCCTATTTCCCGATAAAAATGTATGTATAATAATTTTGCTAGTGGATAGAATGTTCTCAACAACGATTAGGGAATCTAACTAAGGTAAAGCCGTGGTGCGTTCCCCAGAAACGAGACACATCATTCTCTACGTTCTACGTCGAGAAATATGTAAACTATAACTGTAGAGATCTGTCCCTGAGTGAGTCTCACCGACGGCTCCCAAAGTCTCATGCCTTTCTTCACCCAACAGCAAAAAACGTCAATGACTGGTGGCATGAGATTTGCAATAACTCTCATGGTGCGAATGAAGGGTACTCGATCATTTCCCCACAGAAAAGAAGCTTAGCCTGCAGAGATGCTCATTGAGGTTTTCCCGCATTACTGAGTTACGCAAAAAATGTTGACGAAGATTAGAATAGCCGTACCGGTTTCTACAAGCAGACTGTTCGTTCTGATCCTGTCTATAACTCCGTGATTGCCTAACTGCGATTTCGTTTCGTAAGATAGTCATTATAGCTATAAATAATTATCTGGCTTTGGAAAACACCAACCAGAACCCTGTTCTAACAATTATCCCAAAAGTCAAAGGATCCTCTCCAGCTGTTGCTCCGAATCATTCCAGTTGCTCTATTAGAACCCAGGGAAGAAAGGATTAGACCCCTTGAGTTTGTTCGCTTGGATTCACACTTGAGGCGGCAGTGAATGACGTCAAGGTACACGATTCATCGTACCTTTGTTTAACTGAGAGAATAACACAATTACTCTGGGAGTTTATGTTAAGAAATAAAGTTAGGCCGTGTACGCTTCCCTAATGCGATCATCACGACATCGTGGTCAATCCATATTTGGCCCTGACTTAAAACATCCTTTTCCAGATCAATATATCAGTGGTTGCGCTTCATTGACTTCATTTTTCGGAAACACTGATTTTATTCTTTCTTCAGTTGCTGCTATTTCAGCTTTTCGAAATACACTCTAATGGAATTACTGACACCTTGTCGGAAAAACTCACTCTGGGGTATTGAGGGTGTTGGAGAGAAAGTAAAGGTGGTTTTCTTTAAAAATGGAAAAACAGGTTACGCAGAACAGACTAAAAAATGAACTCGTTTCATGGCGTTTCAGGAACCGGTTTCTTGACATCAAAGCCTTATTGCTTTGAAAAGCCTCTACTATGAGTGCACGACCTGCCAGAGTTATTTTTGTAAGAGTACCACAATATGGTGTTCGTCTTGCCTTCAAGGGTCATTACAACGAATATGGACACTCGGGAGCGGTGTTATTGAAGGTGTATGGCTGCCGGTTCAATCCTGAACCTCTGAACTCGCCTGTTCCTGTGCTGCGATAATCGGAGATGAAGTAAAAATACAGCTTGTCTCATATTTCCTGTTGAATGCGATGCCTTCCCCCCCCCCCCCCCG